AGGAGAGAAAAGAGTGAGAAACAGAGCCCCAGGCAGAAAGAGGATGAAGTGCATTGCTTAAGGGCATAATGGTGATGTTCAGTGGTCAGAGCTGGGATCAAACCAGCGATGGTTCAGTTATGAGACGTCCGCTCTACCACCTGAGCCACGGTTGCCATTGGATACAGACGTGTGACCGGCCTCATGTGACACAGACGTGGTCCGTCCCAGAAGAAGTGAAATTACACTTTATAACAGTGTGTTTGTCCCACGGCTCTGTGTCTCTGTCTGTGTCTGTGTCTGTGTCTGTGTCTGTGTCTCTGTGTCTGTGTCTCTGTGTCTGTGTCTCTGTGTCTGTGTCTGTGTGTCTGTGTCTGTCTGTGTGTCTGTGTGTCTGTGTCTCTGTGTCTCTGTGTCTGTGTCTGTGTCGTCTGTGTCTCTGTGTCTGTGTGTCTGTGTCTGTGTCTGTGTGTGTCTGTCTGTGTCTGTGTCTGTGTCTGTGTCTGTCTGTGTCTGTGTCTGTGTCTCTGTGTCTGTGTCTGTCTGTGTCTGTGTCTGTGTCTGTGTCTGTGTGTCTGTGTCTGTGTCTGTGTCTGTGTCTCTGTGTCTGTGTCTCTGTGTCTGTGTGTCTGTCTGTGTCTCTGTGTCTGTGTCTGTGTCTGTGTCTGTGTCTGTGTCTGTGTCTGTGTCTGTGTCTCTGTGTCTGTGTGTCTGTGTGTCTGTGTGTCTGTGTGTCTGTGTCTGTGTCTGTGTCTGTGTCTGTGTCTGTGTCTCTGTGTCTGTGTGTCTGTGTCTGTGTCTGTGTGTCTGTGTCTGTGTCTGTGTCTGTGTCTGTGTTCTGTGTCTGTGTCTGTGTCTGTGTCTCTGTGTCTGTGTCTGTGTCTGTGTCTGTGTCTCTGTGTCTGTGTCTGTGTCTGTGTCTGTGTCTGTGTCTGTCTGTGTCTGTGTCTCTGTGTCTGTGTCTGTGTCTGTGTCTCTGTGTCTGTGTCTGTGTCTGTGTCTGTGTCTGTCTGTGTGTCTGTGTCTGTGTCTCGTGTCTGTGTCTGTGTCTGTGTCTGTGTCTGTGTCTGTGTCTGTGTCTCTGTGTGTCTGTGTCTCTGTGTCTGTGTCTGTGTCTGTGTGTCTGTGTCTCTGTGTCTGTGTCTGTGTCTGTGTGTCTGTTGTCTCTGTGTCTGTGTCTCTGTGTCTCTGTGTGTCTGTGTCTCTGTGTCTCTGTGTCTCTGTGTCTGTCTGTGTCTGTCTGTGTGTCTGTGTGTCTCTGTGTCTCTGTGTCTCTGTGTCTCTCTGTGTCTGTGTCTGTGTGTCTGTGTCTCTGTGTCTGTGTCTGTGTGTCTGTGTCTGTGTGTCTGTGTGTCTGTGTCTGTGTGTCTGTGTGTCTGTGTCTGTGTCTGTGTCTCTGTGTCTCTGTGTCTGTGTCTGTGTCTCTGTGTCTGTGTGTCTGTGTGTCTGTGTCTGTCTGTGTGTGTGTCTGTGTCTGTGTCTCTGTGTCTCTGTGTCTGTCTGTGTGTCTGTGTCTGTGTCTGTGTCTGTGTGTCTGTGTGTCTGTCTCTGTGTCTGTGTCTGTCTGTGTGTGTGTGTCTGTGTGTGTCTGTGTCTGTGTCTCTGTGTCTGTGTCGTCTGTGTCTGTGTCTCTGTGTCTCTGTGTCTGTCTGTGTCTGTGGCTGTGTCTGTGCCTCTGTCTCTGTGTCTCTCTGTGTCTGTGCATCTGTCTCTCTGTGTCTGTGTCTCTCTGTCTCTCTGTCTCTGTGTGTCTGTGTCGCTGTGTCTGTGTCTCTGTGTCTGTGTTTGTGTCTCTGTCTGTGTGTCTGTGTCTCTGTGTCTGTGTCGCTGTGTCTGTGTGTCTGTGTCTGTGTCGTCTCTGTGTCTCTGTGTCTGTCTGTGTCTGTGTCTCTCTGTGTCTCTGTGTCGTGTCTCTCTGTGTCTGTGTCTCTCTGTCTCTCTGTGTCTGTGTCTCTCTGTCTCTCTGTCTCTGTGTGTCTGTGTCGCTGTGTCTGTGTCTCTGTGTCTGTGTTTGTGTCTCTGTCTGTGTGTCTGTGTCTCTGTGTCTGTGTCGCTGTGTCTGTGTGTCTGTGTCTGTGTCTCTGTGTCTCTGTGTCTCTCTGTGTCTGTGTCGCTGTGTCTCTGTCTCTCTGTCTTGTCTCTGTTTGTGTCTCTCAGTATCTCTGTCTGTCTCTGTGTCTTTTTGTCCTGTCTCTGTGTCTCTGTCTGAGTCTGTCTCTGTTTACACAGAGAACGGTAATGATGAGTTCAGATACACCCAGAAGGAAAACAAACATGAAACCAGGACTAAACCAGGACTAAACCAGAACTAAGCCAGAACTAAACCAGGACTAAACCAGAACTAAGCCAGAACTAAGCCAGAACTAAGCCAGGACTAAACCAGGACTAAACCAGGACTAAACCAGAAATCAACCAGAACTAAACCAGGATTATATGTGTTTTGAATTTAAAATCATTTCTTTCGATTAGATCAGATGCGCCTTTATTGTTCTTTATGGAGAAATTCTCCTCTTCTCAAAAAAACAACTGCACATGTCCACAGACACATACACATACAGACACATACACACACAGACACATACACACACAGACACATACACACACAGACACATACACACACAGACACATACACACACAGACACATACACACACAGACACATACACACACAGACACATATACACACAGACACATACACACACAGACACATACACACACAGACACACACATACACACACAGACACATACACACAGACACATACACATACAGACACATACAGACACATACAGACACATACAGACACATACACACACAGACACACACATACACACACAGACACATACACATACACACAGACACATACACACACAGACACATATACACACAGACACATACACACACAGACACATACACACACAGACAGACACATACAGACACATACACACACAGACACATACACATACAGACACATACACACACACAGACACATACAGACACACACAGACACATACCACATACGACATACACAGACAACATACAGACAGACACACAGACAGACACACACACACACAGACACAACACATACAGACACACACAGACACATACAGACACACACAGACACACACATACAGACACATACACACACAGACACATACACACAGATACACACAGACACATACACACACAGACACACACACACACAGACACATACAGACACATACAGACACACAGACACACACAGACACATACACATACAGACACATACACACACAGACACATACCACATACGCATACAGACAAATACAGACACACACAGACAGACACATACACAGACAGACACATACACACACAGACATATAAACACACAAACACACAAACACATACCACATACGCATACAGACAAATACAGACACATACACATACAGACACACACAGACACATACACATACAGACACACACAGACACACACAGACAGACACACACAGACACATACACACACACACAGACACATACAGACACATACAGACACACACAGACACATACACACACAGACAGACACATACACAGACACACACAGACACACACAGACACATACAGACACACACAGACACATACACACACAGACACACACAGACACATACACACACAGACACACACATACACATACAGACACACACAGACACATACACATACAGACACACACAGACAGACACACAGACACATACAGACACATACAGACACACACAGACACATACACACACAGACACACACAGACAGACACATACACAGACAGACACAGACACATACAGACACACACAGACACACACAGACACATACACACACAGACACACACAGACACATACACACACAGCACACACAGACACATACAGACACATACAGACACATACACACACAGACACATACAGACACACACAGACACATACACACACAGACACACACAGACACATACAGACACAGACACATACAGACACACAGACACACACAGACACATACACACACACACAGACACATACACATACAGACACACACAGACACACACAGACACATACAGACACACACACACACATACACACATACAGACACACACACACAGACACACACACACAGACACATACACAGACACACACAGACACACACACACAGACACACACACAGACACACACAGACACACAGACACACAGACACACAGACACATCACACACAGACACACACAGACACACACAGACACACACACAGACACACACACACAGACACATACACACAGACACACACAGACACACACAGACACACACAGACACACACACAGACACATACACATACACACACAGACACACACACATACACACACAGACACACACAGACACACACACAGACACATACAGACACACAGACACATACAGACACAGACACACACAGACACATACACACACAGACACATACACATACAGACACACACAGACAGTACACTCACACCCAGAGCTACCACATCACCCCAACACTGGCAGTTACCAGGGAAATCAGCTCCAGATTGTGCCCAGTGCTGCAGCTAAAACCACATGATGAACATGAAAAAACATGCACATCATCATCCAGAAGTAGAGAGGAGTGAGCTGGACTAGTATCCATCACTCCACATCACTCCACATCACTCCACATCACTCCAGTAATGGACGTTTCACACAAGAATCAGGCGGGTTTCTACTGGATTAAGGAGAGAGATAGACCTGAGACTGGCTGTGTGTCAAGTCAAACTCCTCATGCAGGAGAGGAGGAGGTCACCACATTTCTGACCCTGCTTCACATGTGCAGTGTGAAATTTGCAGTGTGCGGTGTGCAGTGTGCAGGGCAGAGGCAGCTCTTCTGCCTGTGCAGGTGCAGGTGTAGTTAAAGGTACTGAGGTACATGATCTGCTCATCTCCAGCCCAGCACCACTGTGTGTGACAACAAAAGACTGAACATTGTCAAAATACAGAATAAAAATGTAGTTTTTCTGTGTTTCAGACGTCCAGGATCACACAGAAGATCGTCGCCATGGACGCAGGAAATCGGAGCAGCTCTGTGGAGCTGAGTGTCACCATCACCAACCTGCACAACCAGCCCCCCCTGTGGGACAAGAGCGAGTACTACGTCACTATACCAGAGAACACAGCAAGAGACGCCAAGATACTGGTGAGTTTAGAGCTGGTTTAGTCCTGGTTTAGACCTGGTTTAGATCTGGATTAGTCCTGGTTTAGACCTGGTTTAGATCTGGTTTAGTCTTGGTTTAGAGCTGGTTTAGTTCTGCTTCTTTGTTATTCAATAACAGCTGTTATTGAAACTTAACTCCAGTCCTGCTCTCATTTTATCTTCATTCAAACAGAGTTTTTTATTCAAACACATTTTCATATTAAACGGGAACATTAAATTTTCATCAATTTAAGAAAACATTTACAAACTGGTTCCGTTTTTACCCTGTGCCTCAGCTCTTCCTTCCTGAGTGTGTGTCAGCACATCTCCCTCCTCTCCCTCAAGCTCCAACTATTACACAGGCAGCCATTTTAAATCATTAGGAATTAGGCTTCAACAGGGTTCTCCTATAAATGCACTCTCTCTCCTCCCTGATCCTCCTTTTTGCTCTTCTGCAGCTTTGATGGGGCTTGGTTATTTTCGGGGTACCAGCACCCACAGGCAGGTGACGTTCCACCTCCAGTGTGTTCTCAAAGGCACATTTATGGACGTGGCACATCACCAGCATGATTCTGGAAAACAATCAGTATCACTGGATTTGGCCCCGAGCAGAGCTGGTGTCATTAACAAGTTGCAGATGTGACACAAACCTCGATACACAGGCCACCATACAATACGTATCTCGATACAGTGCACTTTTGGTTCGATATATTTCAAACTGATTCAATACAGTTTAATAAAAAATAAAGGCTAAGTTATATGTGTGATACTAAAAGTCTTTGTTAAACCACTTCATATGAAACACAAACATTTTAATCATCAAAACAGTGAAAATGTCAAATGTGTCGCAGAAACGAGTTTCCTTTCACTAAACAAAAAACAAAACTGTAGCTGTAACAAAATAATTTAATTTAAAAAATAATTTTAAAATATCAAAAATACTTGGTACTATATAGGCGAGTTTCATTGTTGACAAAAGCGCGCGTTGCATGCTGGGAATTATTTTGCTCGGCGGCAATAAACACTAATTCAACACGGAGCGAGAAAGCACGTAAAGGGTATTGATCCCGGTTATTTATCCACTCTAACGGCAGAGGACCCAAGACCATTTGACCAGAAATTGGTCATAAACATCGATGGACGACAAATCACCCTTTTCAACCCCGACAAAAGGTGGACCAAACCAAATTTCTGGTCGGAATCACCAACTACCTGGACAAATATTCACTTGGGTGATATCCACAATGACTTGGTGGAAACTCCTGGGCCATTCACAGCAGAAAAGATGAAAACCTCCAAGAGTCTCGATGTGTTGTTGAACTTGTTGGAGTCCATGGTTTGTTAGGATCTTCTACGTTTGCTCTGCGGATGTTTGAAAGCCGTTTAATTCACCGTTAGCAGTTCTTTTCACTCAGAATACGAAAAAGACATTTTCCTTCTTCTGTGCTTCTATTTGTGCATCTGATAACGCAGCAGGAATTTACCATTATCGGGGATAAATACACGAGGTTAGGCACTGTGTTTGACCACTATCGTGTTTCTTGCCTCCGACCAAAATATTTCCCAGCATGCAACGCGGGCTTTTAATAACAATGATGTCAGCTGACACTCGCCTATTTCAATTCAACAGCCCAAGATATTGATACTGCATCATCACATTAAACAACACAATGCAATATTTCCAATATTTTTGCACACACCCCAGCCCCGAGGGACAGGTTAAACACACTGAGCATTAAAAGGTCAAACAAAAGTCTTGGTGCAGCTCAAGGTCGAGTCATCAGGTCATCAGGTCCAGTGTCAGGACAGTTTGAGGTGAGTAACAGCCGTCAGGACAAAAGTGTCCCTCCTCTGTGTCCTGCGGTGTCACAGCAGCCTCCAGAGGGCGCAGGTGAGTTTTTGGCTCTAGTCACAAATAGAAATGATCAGGTTCAACATTAGTGCATTTACCTTTTGGAGATTTCATGGTAAATTCAGATGTAGTCAACAGGGAAACAGGGTCTCTACCTCCATCTGAGCGTGTGACATCATCACTTTCTAGAATCTGAAAAACACTAAGAGAAAACTTCACTAAAATAATTCTAAATGTGGCCTAATCTCCTAATCAGATGTGATGTGTAGAGCGAGCCTTCTGCTGCTGTCCGCTCAAGTGTCCAGAGTTTTGTTCTAAAATAAGACTTTAATCATGTGTTGTCTGTGGAGCCACTGGAGCGATGCTAACACTCGCTAACAAGACTCTTCTCATTAAAACAAACTGTGTGCTAATGCCGCAAGCTACGTCCTCACAGCCATGACACAGCAGCCACCAGCTAACCCCGCTAACTGCTAATGACGCTAACGAACCGCGAGTAACACCACCAGCTAACGAGGACGACGCAGAATGATGCTAACATGATAGCATGCAGGAGCTAATGAAGCTAATTGCTAACAAAAGGGAAATTTTCACTGGAAAATTATTATATGGTTAAAAAGGCTGAACCAGGTCTAAACCAGGTCTGAACCAGGTCTAAACCAGGACTAAACCAGGTCTAAACCAGGTCTAAACCAGGTCTAAACCAGGTCTAAACCAGGTCTGAACCAGGTCTAAACCAGGACTAAACCAGGTCTGAACCAGGTTCAACATACATAAGAAACAGTTACATGTCACTGTTTTCGACATTGACCTGTAATAAACATTATTTTTCAAGTGTCCCACTACTTTGACTTTTTTTTTTTTTTTTTTTTCATTGTCGGAGTAGAGGCACTTTACTAATTTTCAAACATTCGGCTTTTTTGACATGGATAATCTGAATGTGAGAGCCCATTATACTCAGTGTTACTGTATTTCATCAGATACTTGGGACTTGAAACTTGGGCCGCAGAGAAGATCAGACAGTGAGAAAAAGTCCTAACTGATCCCCGCAGGAAACAGTCATGCATTTAAAAAAGAGCATAGGTCTTGTATCTGTGGAGAACAACATACAGCCTAAATAAATGAGACGATACTCTCACAGCCCAAAACTCACATGTGACACCGACATGTGACCATGACATGTGATTGTGTACACATTAGGCCTCTATTTCATTTGGTCAAATCAGTTCAGTGTAGGCAGTTTGAACACTCCACTACAGAGCTACTGAACAGAACAGATAATAAACTTCACCTGCAGCTCTGTGGTAGGACGTAAAAAGAGAGATTAGGCTGAAAGAAGGAGGCGACGGCTGTAGGGAAATGTTTAGACCTAAGGATGTCTGTTTTACATAGTCTATTGGACAAACCTACCTATCGATGGATCGGCTGCATTCAGCACCATGGACAGCAGCCAGAATATGCACAGGTGACGTGTTGGAATAGCCATACCAAAAAGTGTTGGAAAACAGGACGTCTAAATAGAGACATGTCATAATGAAGGAACAGACCAGAGGAGGTGGTTCCACTTAAGGGTGGGTAAAATATGAAACCTGAGAAAAACACAAACGTGATTTAAAGAGTACATTTTCTGGAGCCTGTAATCAGTCTGAGCGTTCATGGTTCTGTTTAAGAGTAAAATTTTCGACAAAAAGGTTAGAGTGACTCTTTGAAAAACTGTTGACTAATACTAGCTAGCTTGTGACTGTCATGTTACATGTGAGAGTTTTATTTATCAGCACGAATCAGCTCAACTGTTTTAGTTCTTACTAGGGATGGGCATGATTAGTTGATCATTAAGAATTTCATCGATTACATTCATTTTAATCGATAAATCGAATGTAGGTTGCTGTGTGTAGTGTGACCAAACAGGTCTGTACATGTGTCTCTGCATCAGAAGGAGCGAGCAGACACACACAGAGTCGGAGCAGCCTGCAACGTATCGAAGCACAAATGCGTATTTAACGATGACTCGTACAAGAAATTCCACGCTTTCCGTTGTGTTGGGGACAAGTGTGAGTCCATGTGCACAGTGTATAAAGCAGCACATATGTTTCTGTGTCCAGTGGGAAAAGATTTTCCAGGTGAGAGTCGCACAATGTGGATGACGAGTCCCCACCTCCCTCCCCCGTACGCTGTCCTGGTTTTGACAAACGCAAATCTGGTCACACTAACCTGTATTCACCTGAGTCATGTCTTTTAATCAGACAGAAGTTGAACCACATCAGTGACACAAGAGCTGTAGTTTTATCTTTGCCTATTTTATGCAAATTAGCGATGTGGTTTTAAGTTTCGTTTCTGTGAGAGTTGAACAAAACTGAATTAAACACATTATAATCTAAAAAGGGCTGATGTGGCTCTAGAGTTATATGTTGTAAAGTTGAGTTTATTTATGCAGATTAGTAGTGCAGATAGTAATAATAATGATGATCATTTTAATATAAAAACGTTAATGATTAATCGATAATCGATCGTTAATTCTTCGGACGATTGATTAAGAAAATTTCATCGAACGCCCATCCCTAGTTCTTACTACGTCAGTTGTTTCTGCCAATCTGCACCATCGACCCCTCCCACCACCAACACTCAAACACACACACACACCACACACACCACACACACCACCTTGCAAAACGAGCATACTATTTACTGCACTATAATTGTAAACATGAAACAATTATCCATGTTCTTTGTTTTGGTCATTTTGCAGTTTATGTCAATAAGTTTGTGTGTTTAGTGGAGATGTGGAAAAAGGCAGTGAAAGGAAGAGGCAGGTTTAGAGATCAGGGAACACATCTGAACAATAAAAGACAAAAACCACAAACCCAGTGTGAGACACAAGAGTTTATGTTTATGTTTATGTTTGTTTTTTTGTAATTTGTCCCTGAAAAACATATTCTGTCACTTTTATGTTAAATAAACATTTTGAAGTAGCTTCTCATCAATCCTCAATGGAGATGACAAAAGTGTAATGCTATACTGCAGAACATTCCAGGCAAAGAAATAACATTTGTGTAGAACTAGACCAGGACTAAACCAGGACCAGTGTGAACCTAAAGCTCTCGTGTGCTGTTCCAGACCATCCGAGCGACCTCTCCCCTGGGTGACCCCCGTGTGACCTATAACCTGGAGGAGGGTCTGGTACCAGAGACCAACCTGCCCGTCCGCTTCTACCTCAAACCAAACCGGTCCGACGGGTCTGCGTCTGTCCTCGTGGCTGAGAACCTGGACTACGAGACCACGCGGTTCTACACGCTCAGAGTGAGAGTCCAGAACGTGGCTGCGGTTCCTCTGGCCTCCTTCACCACGGTCTACGTCAATGTGACCGGTGAGACATTCACTCATAACTGCATTATTTAAACAGGGACATTGAGTATTGAGTATTTGAGTATTTTTATGCAAATAAAGTGAATAGCACATGAGCCACATCACATGATCAGTGTTTGAAATCCTTAAAGAGACAGTTTACAGTTTCTATAAAATCAATTTAACAATGTTTTTCCTTCCCCATCTTTAGCTCACTCACTATTTGTTGTATTCTGAGTGATTTGTGTTGTTGCATTTGAGGCTTAAGTGCCCAGAAAATGTTTATTTTCACCTACCCCCTATCCCCGCCCACAGCTCTGTACTTAGATGTATTATTGAAAACTTCTGCCTCTGTGTCGTTCATGTAGGGTGTCACACAGACATTTCTCAACATGAAATCCACGTAAAAGAGAATATGTGGCTTGTAATAATAATAATGGTAATAATAATAATACATCAGACTTATATAGCGCTTTTTTGGACGCTCAAAGACGCTTAAAAGTAACGCTGTAGAAAACGGAGGAATCACAGGGGGAATGCCAGTTTGAAGAGGTGAGTTTTTAGTCGTGATTTGAAGAGCTGCAGTGAGTTCGAGTTCCTGGTGGATTGTCGGAGTGAGTTCCAGAGGGAGGGGGCTGCAGCGGCGAAGGCTCAGGCCCCCAAGGCCCGGTGCTTTGTCTTGGCGAGGGGAGTGAGGAGGTTGGTGTCGGCTGATCTGAGGCGGCGAGTGGGACGGTGCAGACAGAGGAGGTCGGTGGGAAAGGGAGGGGCCAGGGGTTATGGAGGGACTTGTAGGTGATGAGGAGAACCTTGTATTGGATGTGGCTTGTGACAGTGAAATGCCAACGTGAAGCCTGTAAGGTCTAAAGTATACAACAGGAAGTGGATGGACACAATCGTTTTAGATCAATATTGTGGTTTACAGTGAACAAAATGTGAAATGAAGCTTTAAGTATTTACACTGAAGCATCAAACTATGAATGACACACGTGGAATGTAGTGAACAAAAATACTCAAAATAAGCCCATGTACGAGTCTGACCCTTTGCTTCGATGACTGTTTTGCACTTTTGGCATTTCTTGACCCATGACCTGCAGTGTGTGTATGAATGTGTCTCTGCGTGTGGTGTGCAACAGATGTGAACGACAACGTGCCGTTCTTCCAGTCGTCCACATACGAGGCCACAGTCCCAGAGGGGGCCCACAGCGGGACCACCGTCATCCAGGTCTCTGCCACAGACCGGGACTCTGGACCTCACGGGGCGGTCAGTATCTAAACCACACAGCAAGACCTGGTTCAGACCTGCTTTTGTCTTGGTTTAGACCTGATTTAGTCCTGATTTAGTCTTAATTTAATCTGGGTATATACCTGGTTTAGACCTGTTTCAGTCCTAGTTTAGACCTGGTTCAGTCCTGGTTTAGACCTGATTCAGACCTGGTTTAGTCCTGGTTCAGACCTAGTTCAGACTTGGTTTAGTCCTGGTTCAGGCCTGGTTTAGTCCTGGTTCAGACCTGGTTTAGTCCTGGTTCAGTGCTGGTTTTGCTCTTCAGGTCCGGTACTCTCTGTTGGGGGACGACAGTGGAGATTCTCAGTTCTTCAGGATAGACCCAGAGTCCGGTACCATCGAGACTCGGGCCTCGTTGGATCGGGAGCAGAAGTCCTCGTACCTTCTGGAGGTCCAGTCTGAGGACGGGACTGAGTCTGCCAGAGCGGGACTTCAGGGACTGCCCAACACCGGTACGACTCTGCTGTCAAACAGGGGCTGTTATGTAAAATGGACTTTTTGGAGTTTTCTGCCGTGTTATAAGATTGTCCCTGATCACAAACACGCCTGAAGAGGTTTTATGTCATCCATGCATGTTTGAGTAATCTAGGGATCTTTCCTGGTCCCTATTCAAACCCTACACATGGTTAGTTGTAAGATTGTGTACAAAGCTCTTCCCACATCACCCATAAATGTACAAAAACACCATATGCAATGTGCAGTAGCTTCATTAGCAGGATGCATGACCTGCACCAGGTCAGGTACCTGAGAATAGTTGCTGAAACAGGCGAGTTTTAATGTTCTGGAATTTGATGGGGGGTATGTGGGAGAGTAGTGATCATACACGGGTGGGTATGGTATGGTAAATCAAATGAACGACGAACACGAGAAAAATATTTGACATTTGTACAGGGCGTCCGTTGTCCTGGAAACAAATGACTTTTCCTGTCTTTTCCTGAAAAAATGGAGCAGGCTGAGAGAGACTTCAGTGTATTTATTACATAAAACATTAGCAGAGGAGATCATCGCTGCAGCTGCACTCCTGGTTTAGTCCTGGTTTAGTCCTGCTTTAGTCCTGGTTTAGACCCGGTTCAGTCCTGGTTTAGACCTGGTTTAGACCTGATTTAGATCTGGTTTAGACCTGGTTTAGACCTGGTTTAGTCCTGGTTCAGTCCTGGTGTAGTCCTGGCGATAGGCTTGGCAGTATATATTTATAATCTGCTAAAGACACGGCCTAGGCTCAGTCTTGGTTCAGTCCTGGTATAGTCCTGGGTTAGTCCTGGGTTAGTCCTGGTTTAGTCCTGGTTTAGTCCTGGACTATTGGGCTGTTGGACTAATGGGCTGACCCAAATTTATCACAGGCAATGGATGGAATGTTAACAGGTTTGGGCGGGTGCAGAGTTAACTTGGATATAATCATGGGTTAACGGGCGGGTGTGGTGCTGTACTGCGTGTGTGCAGGCGGTGCGGGCGGTGCGGGCGGGTGCGGGCGGGCGGGTGCGGGCGGGTGCGGGCGGGTGTGGGTCTCCAAAAATGGACCCACACAGGATGTAAGGTAAGCATTATTATGTTGTTTTTGATGAATATAGCATTTTCAAAAATCATGAAAGGTAAAATGTGTGAGCAGTTGAGAGCCCACACAGATAAAACACCCTCTCTTTAAACTAAGTGCCAGCCCTAAAGCTTCTGCTGCCACTTCCTCCAGTAGAAGTAAAAGTACGGTGTGACATGGACTTGACTGACCTGGATGTCCTGTATCTTCAGACACGGCGTATGTGCGTGTGTTTGTGGCCGATGTGAACGATAATGCACCACAGTTTGAGAAGCCTCTGTACGAAGTGAGCGTGGACGAGGACCAGGAAGTGGGCTACGGCGTCATCACCGTGACTGCCACCGACCACGACGAAGGTACAACATGTGTGCAGCTCACGGTTTAACACACAACATCTGCACAAACTGTAAACGTCATTCAAATACACAAGTGAAATACTTGAATAAACTGGATGTGACTCACCTCACAGCAAAAAGGTTCCAGGTTCGATTCACCTTTCTCTGTGGAGATGCATGTTCTTCCCATGTCACATCCTCCGGCTAAGGTAGTCTGATCAAGACTACTGTCTTTTTCTGACTATAAGTCGCACCAGCCAAAAAATGCACAATGAAGAAGAAAAAAAACATATATAAGTTGCTCATTTTGGGGGAAATTTATTTTATAAAAGCAGAGAGCACGAACTGACATTTCACACTGAAAGTCAAGTTCTAGTAATAAGAATAGAAGAGAGAACAACAGACTGTTAAACATCACATATGAACAGTTCTTCAGATAAACTATAACATAAACAACAGAACAAGTTTAACCAAACTCTCCATCTCACTCCAAATCACTAAATTCATTCAGTTCTTCATCCTCTGTGTCACTTCTGAGCAACTTGGCCAACTTTAGCTAAATGTGTCTTTTAGCCTGTCATGAGCTTTTTTTGTTTTCTTCATTTCAGTTAGAGTGTCCTCCACTTTTCTTCAGTCACTCACAAGTTTCTCCCTCACTCCAAACTTTCTTTCTGCTGCTTGATTACTGTTTTTGGCTGCATAGTTTGTAATGTGCAGAATATGATGAGCAGTTTACCCGTATGCGTTAAATGCAGGTGGGTGCTTAAATGACAAGAAGAATTGTCTGAAACTTCAGTAGCCAGACATCCACTCCTATCTGATCGATACACTAGAACTACAACTAGAACGAGTTTTTACAAAACTCTTCAACTGGGCACATTTACCAGAGCACTCATCCACCAAGAATGGATGAGTGTGTGTATGTGTGTGTGTGTGTCTGTGTGTGTGTGTGTGTGTGTGAGTGGTGGTAGTGGCAGACTGGCAGCCTTGCCTCTGTGATTGCCCCAGGGCAGCTGTGGCTTACAGATGCCCTGTAGTTTACCTGTAAAGCACATTACAAGAGTGAGAAATCTCATGGTGAACAGAGGGCCAATAAAATGGGTGTGGAGGTTGTATTTGACCCCGAGCCACAGTCTGGTCCCTGCTGGAGCTTCATGTCCTGCTTTTATGAACCTCAGACATTTGAGACGTTTAGTGAAATTACAGTGAAGACTCATGAAGGTCTTTCAGAGCCAGAGGTGAGGCCAGAGTCTACAAAACAAACTCCATCTGTGCACAGCATGCACCCCAGTGTGATCTCTTCTTCAGCCTCTGACAGAGAGAGAGAGGGAGAGAGAGAGAGAGGAGAGAGGAGAAAGGGGAAAGAAGGAAAGAGAGAGAGAAGAAAGGGGGAAGAGATGGGAGGAGAAAGAGGGAAGGGAAGAAGAAGAGGGGAGGAAAGAGAAACAGGAGTGAAGAGTGGAGAGGGGCAGTGCTTCAGCCCCTGAGAGAGAGAGAGAGAGAGAGGGAGTGGAGGAGAGTGCGGGTACAGTGTTTGGGCATGTGCCATGTGTGAGTGTGGTCCATCTGGGCAGAGGAGAAAAGCTCAGGGCAAAAACACTGAACTCTAAACACACTGAGAAGAACTGACCCAAACCGTAAAGTCAAAACAACTACACATTTAACGGGGAAAAGTTACTCCTCACTTAAGCACAATTTATATTGATGATCAATTCATCTGTGTCGCGATGCAGAGAGTGGGTGTTCTCGTAAACCCCCTCCACAGAGCACCTGTGTCGACATTTTGTAACTACGCATCAAACTGACACAGACAGCAGGGAAAGCGACGCAGACAATAAGAGCTGTGATTGATTTCCGGTACTCTGCTTTCCTGCTTCATTTTGTAAACACCAACACCAGTTTTAAATGCTCGCCTCCTAGTGTCATGGCGGTTAATTACTTCACGGCGCATAGACCTCGACACAGATCCATAAATCAAAAATAGCGGCAACAAGGCGACAGCGGCAGAGTGAGATGAGTTGACGCAGAACTATAATTCGGCCTTTACCTTATGCATTCTGAACATCCTAATTATTCAGAGTTTTCTATCATGTTATTACATTATTCCCTCAACAAAAACATGCCTGAAGAGGTTTTAGAGTCATCCATGCATGTTTGAGTAATGTAGCGATCTCTCCTGGGCTCTATTCAAATCCTCCTTAACTGTTTTCAGTTAACTGATTCTGTACAAGGCTCCACCCACAAGCCTATGTGCTCCATGCTCCGACACATAAATATACAAACACATGATACAAAACTGTACACTACAACTGCGCTCTGAGGGGGAAGTGACTGAGCACAGGGAGCAAAACGAGGGGAGACTCATCTTCAAAAAACAAAACTGAAACTTATAAAACAAGTTAAAACGTTGTTTTGGGTGAATATAACATTTTCAAAACAATAAAAGGAACATGGTGATCTAAACATGTGATGTGTTACAGTGAATAAGTCAAATACACTCTTTTTCTTTTCTTAAATCTAATCACTCCTCTTGTTCCAGGAGCGAATGCTAAACTGCGATACCAGGTGTCGTCGGGCGGGTCTGGTCCAGGTCTGGGCTGGTTCGACGTGGATCCGGAGGTGGGGCGGGTGTTCGTGGCGCAGCGTCTGGACTTTGAGACGCGGCGCAGACTGGAGCTGAGGCTGGTGGCGTCCGACGGGAAATGGTCCAATGAGACGCTCCTGATCATCGACATCATCAACCACAACGACGAGGCGCCGGTGTTTAGCCACGCCCTCTACCACGCGACTGTGCAGGAGGAGAGCGCAACACTGCCACTGCTGATCCTACAGGTGAGATGGAGGTACTGCCACAGACTGTATACTAGTATATAACTGGACATGACTAAACTGCCCCTCCTCTTTCTGGAACTGCTCCTGTCAGGCTCGTCATTCTAACTTACAATGTTTGTATTTACCCACTCTGCCTGATCCTGGGCTTTTTATTTCACTCTTTTATACATTAATAACAAACGCATCAGGTGCCTTCTTTCTTTCTTGACTGACAGCGTTGCTAAGTGCCCGCCCCCTGCTAAACCCTCAACAGCCTCGCTCCTGATTGGCTCTTTGGTTCCTATGATACTGTACATGCAATTTAGATTCCAAATATTGAACTGGTTCAAATTGTGATCCTCATGAGCTTCATTTGACTGGAGCCAAATGCTGTGGGTGACGTCACACTCCCTCAGTCCACTGCTTTATACAGTCTGTGGCAGGTGGACCATACAGACCCAGATCTATAGTTGACAAATGATTCAATTACTTTTAATTTTCACTGGGCAATTCCATTTTAAGTCGTAACATTACAGCTTTTCTCTAAACTTTTAAGGCCGCCACACACCACAGGAGAATTTGCCAGATTTTTACATTTATTTTTTTTTTTATTTATCAAGATAGGGACAGTGCACAATTTTTACATTAACCTTAACAGGAGAGATGCACTGTACCATGTCGTAGCACCATGTTGTAGCACCAGGTGGGCAGGTTCAATCAATGACCCTGCCCACCTGTTGTCCCTGGGCAGGTTCATTGATTGATTGTATTTAACTGACCTTGACTATCAACTGTTCTGGAGACCTGGAGCATGTGTTGATTGGGTTGATGGGGGAAACCGGAGCACCTGGAGGAAACCCATCCAGACACGGGGAGAAACATGCAAACTCCACAGGCCCAGGCCCAGGGATCGAACCCGGAACCTTCTTGCTGTGAGGCATGAGTGCTGCTGCAGCTGTGATTTGCTTCTGTCCAAGTTCAAATTTTTGGGAGGGGTGAGACTCTGAGCTGCTCTGTCAGATCATAACCACCAAACATCAGCAATGCTACAGTAACATTCAATAAAACAGAGCGTCAGGGGCAGATGAGTGATGGACACAGAGACGCAACATACAAACTCAGGATAGAGCAAAAATAATGAGAAGACTTTATTCCTCACCTCTTGTAAAATGGTAACTTTTAAGTGTAGCATCTCATCCACATTATCCATAGAAATTGTCCTCCACAAATAATGACTCCAGTCCACAAAACTGCACTATTAACCCAGTTTGAGATGTTCTTTAAAAGTAAAAAGGTGAGAGTAGTTCCTCACTTGTGTTTGTTTACATCCACACAGCGCACGGATCGAGCTGAAGCTGCAGTTTATCCATAGTGACTTTACTTCCCCAGGACTTTATCTCCAATCTTTTATGCTTTAAAATCCTGTATCTGAAGTTTTGCACCACATTTCACAAATAGTAACACAGTTTTGACTTGGATCTAAACTAGAAGTGCAAAGTCTGATCTTTAGAACACTTAAGCGGTTTTACTGTAAATAGGAAACTGCTGACGCCATCACACTCACAACTTTCTATCTTGTGGTCCACAGACATATCCCTCTGCAGTTTTTGTGATTGGAGATTTTAAATCTCATAAAATCCATGTCTGTGGTGTGCAATTTTTGTTGCACATTTAAAAATCATCTAAAACTGAAAAATCCTGTCGTGTGTAGTCACCTTTACAGCACTGTATTAATGGACCAAGGAACATATAAACCAATTGTGTGCAAGTTCAGCCACCCACATGATGCTACTTAGCCAAAAAAAGCTTGTATTTTTGTTGATCTGACAGTGTTTTGTTCATACATTCAGACACTGATAAAACTAGATTACTTCTGTATCACAAGACAGCATGACGTCCCAGACCTCTGCTTGAGGAGATTTTCCGTAACTGGACCTTTTCAGATTTTAGTTGAATACCCCTCGTCTCTGGGTTATACATGAGAGCTGCACTGCCACTGCTCCTACTACAGACGAGAGTCAGGTACTGCAGGAGAGCGCCACCTTTTCCATAAGATAAACCTGTGTATAGAGTTAAGTGTGGTGTCACGTCCAGGTCCATCAGATGATTGAAAAAAAGACAAAACAATACATCTTAGATTTTCAGCCATTTAAAGCTAAGGTCATGAGCATGGATCTGTGGTTCTAACTGTGATAGGAAGTGTTTGAGGAGGCTCAGGTGAGGAGCTAAGCATCATAACAGTGACCCAAATGTAGTCCTCTTATATATTATACTACATTAAAACAAAAATAAAGCTAGGATCAGATGTGAAGTTTCTGTCTGAAATTAGGATATCCTCAAATTCTAGAATGAGAACACATATAACACATATAAGATGTTCCTCCACAGACTCCTGTCAGTATTTTCCACCTGTGTTTATATAAGACATGTCTTTAATAAGTACTTTAGATTCCATTTCCACACACTGGCCTGCTCTCTCCTCTCTGCTCCTGTTTATGGAGCTGTTTGAAGTGGTTCCGCTCTGATTTCACTCTGAGCCATGGACCCAAACTGGAGTCACGCTAAATACTCCCACTTAGTGCTGGTTCAGTCCTTCTTCAGCCACATGTAAGTTCTAGTCTAGTCCCAGTTCAGTCCTTGTTTAGTTCTGGTCTAGTTCTGGTTCTGGTGTAGTTCTCATTCAGTCCTGGTTTAGTCCTGGTTTAGTCCCATTTTAGTCCTTGTTAAGTTCTGATTTAGTCCTGGTTTAAATCAGCATTTTTTTTTGTTTATTTGTGGCTGTGAATTGGGATTACTTCTAAATATTTTTAAAGCAATTAACAGAAGTTTTGAGTCACAGATGGTGGAAATGGTGAGAAAATACAAACATCTGTATGACCCAACACTCTGTGACTGTAAAGATGCAAAATGGCAAGAAATTTATGGAGGGAGATGGCCGACATTTTAGGCTCGGACGAAAATCAGTGTAGAAAAGTCTGGAGTCATCTCTGTGACAAGTTTGCAAAAAAACAGCGGTCAAGTTGAAGGACGAAAAGAAAGACAAAAGGGGGCGGGGCACAGCAAGAGGGTGAGACAGTTCAGCAGCAGAACATCTTTGCAGTATGAAATGTCAGAGCCCAAACAAACTTTGTTTTTGTTCATATCATCTCAATAATAAGAACAAAGTTTGTTTGTTCTCATGAAGTATGACCTTCTGCCTTTAGTCCTGGTATATAGGTCTGGTTTAGTCCTTGTTTTAATCCTAGCATGTACCTCTTTGTCCAAGTCCAGTACTGATTTACTTCAGGTTTTAAGTCTGTTTTAGTCCTGTTTGAGTCCAGGTTTAGTAGCATTGCAATCCTTGTTTCATTTCTAGTGTGGTTCTGGTTTCATCCTGGTTTTAGTGTTTTGTTTTGTTTTGTTTTTTTTTGTTTTTTTGTAGACCAAGTCCGAAGCCTAGACCAGGTGGCTGTGAATTGGGATTACCTCTAAATATTTTTAAAGCAATTAACAGAAATCAGGACATTTTTGTCAAAATTCTTGATAATTTCTTTATTCTCCAGGTAACAATGATCATATTTTCTGTAATCCATCAGAAATGTGTTTTGTCTATACATCATTTACTTGATTTTCTTATTTTCCCATTTTCAAAGTTAATATTCGATATCTTGTAGATGACAGATTTCTAATTTAACAAAATAAACCCTCTCTGTTTCTGTACTCTCTGTCTCTCTCAGGTCTCTGCCGTAGACCCAGACCTGGACTCAGACCAGTCTCAGCTCCGGTTCTCTCTCCACGGTCAGGGCTCCGGAGGCGACTTCTCCATCGACCCTCAAAGCGGCTCGATCTACGCCCTGCGCCGCCTCGACCGAGAAGAGCGCCCCCACTGGAGGTTCCTGGTCCTGGCCACAGACGAGGGCGGGGCGGGGCTCACGGGATTCGCAGACGTGGTCTTGGAAGTGAAAGACATAAATGATAACGCTCCGTTCTTCCCTTGTGCGGCTCTGGAGGAGGACGGATGTTTCGTGGGGCGCGTTCCGGAAAATTCTCCTGCCGACACGTCTGTGATGGAGATGAGGGCCATGGACCTGGACGATCCCAACGAAGGGACCAACGCGGTGCTCACATACAGCATCGTGCAGAACGTGAAAAATGAGATAAACCTGAATCTGTTTGCGATTAATGCGAGCACAGGGACGATCTCCACGGTACTGCGCTCTCTGGACAGGGAGCAGCAGCAGCGCCTCCTGGTGGTGGTAGAGGCACGTGACGGAGGGGGGCTCAGGGGGACGGGCACAGCGACCATCCTGGTGACGGACGTGAACGATCATCCTCCAGTGTTCACACAGGACTCCTACTCTGTTCAGGTGGGTCTAAGAGAACTTGATGTCACAGATGCTGAGTTCATCGTGACCTTTGCCCTGTGACCTCTGGGTTCATACATACTCTCCTCTTCTATATTTGCCTGTGTAAATCTCTTCTTGTGGTTGTCAGAGAGGCCTTAAATCAAAATTGGCAGAATTCAGTTTATTTTTTAGAGCCCAAAATCACCAGCGAAAGAGTCAATTTTTACTCAACTGCAAATAGTAAACTGCAAATAGTAAATTCAATTCAATTCAAAAAAGTGTATTGTCAAATTTCCATATGAACATATGAAAATTTTTAATTATGTTCTCACTATCCATCTTCAAATTAAATAACAGTAAAATAAAAGGAAAAGTCCAAAGTTCTTCTTTAGGGAGACACAGATTCTTGCTTCCTGGTCGTCTGGTGGTTATAGAGGGGACAGAGTTCAGCATCCTGACAGCCTGGAGGATGAAGCTGTTAGTGCGTCTGGTGGTGTGGGAACAGAAACTGTTCCTGCCCCTGGAGGGTGGGAGGCTGAACAGATTGTGTGCGAGGTGACTTGCAATTGTGATGGCTTTGCGGGTGAGGCAGGTGGTGTATATGCGGGTGAGGCGGGTGGTGTATATGCGGGTGAGGCGGGTGGTGTATATGCGGGTGAGGCGGGTGGTGTATATGCGGGTGAGGCGGGTGGTGTATATGCGGGTGAGGCGGGTGGTGTATATGCGGGTGAGGCGGGTGGTGTATATGCGGGTGAGGGGGGTGGTGTATAGGTGGTTGAGGAAGTCGAGGTGCTGCTGGTCTTTTCTTCACAGTGCTGCCGTGTTGGTCCAGGAGAGCTCCTCACTGATGTGCACATACAGGATTTTAGTGCTGCTCACTCTCTCCACATCAGCACCATCAATGGTCAGTGGGTGGTGGGTGTGGCCTCTCTGGAAGTCTACAACAATCCCCATAGTGTTGCTGACCTCAGCTGGAGGTGGTTGCACTGTTGTTATATCAAATAAAACTTTCTAAAATGCCTTTTTTATACCAGCTGGCTTGCCACATTCGAGATAGTGTGAAAAGCTCTGAGTAGAGATGTTGCTCCTCTATGTGGAGAGGAGCAGCTGAGGTGGCTGAGGCCTCCTAGACGTCTAGTCTGCCTATGGAGGTGTTAAACGTTATTGTCCCAATTAAGGAAATTTGTCATTCCTGAAGAAAATAAATGTGATGCCATGTATTTTAATAGTTTAATCTTAATTATTGTGTAATTTAGACTCACTTGTTTACATTATGATTGTTAGAGTGTTAGAGTGTTAAGAGGTTAGAGTGTTAGAATTATCTCTACATGTCAGATCTATAATTATAAACTTCACCAAAATAAAATTACTAAAAAAAAGACTGTAAGTAGAGTATTTTTATAGACATTTTGAATATAATGATTTGAACAGTGTTTTGGTGAAATGACTTTAACCCTTTCATACTGAGGCCATGGTCCAGTTAACCTTCCTATGTGCTGCAGATGTCTGAGGACCTGGAGGTGAACACTGAGCTCCTGGTGGTCTCGGCTACAGACGCGGACTTGGGTGAAAATGCGGCGGTGACGTTCAGTATCGTGGACGGAGACGAAGAGCGAAAGTTCTTCATTGAAACGAACAAAACAAACAACTGTGGAGTCCTCAAACTCCAGAAGAAAGTGGACTTTGAGAAACTGAATGAGAGGAGTTTTAACCTGACGCTGAAGGCGGAAGATGCAGACTTCTACTGCCTCAGCCACGTGCTCATACAGGTAGAACAGAAGTCCTGCTTTAGTCCTGCTTTAGTCTCAGTTTTGATATCATTTAGTCCTGCTTTAGTCCTGCTTTAGTGTTGGTTTAAACCTGGTTTAGGACTCATTTTATTCTGGTTTTTATCTGGATTAGACCTTGTTTTTAGTCATAGCTTAGACCTAATTTATGTAGTTCTGGTTTGATCCTGGTTCAGTGCTGGTTTACTTCTGATCTGTTTCAGTTTTAATCTAGTCCTGGTGTAGACCTGATTTAGTCCTGGTTTAGACCTGGATTAAGGCCTATTCATACCTCATAAGAACATAAGAACTGTTTTTGCACCCAGGGATGACCAAGCAAAATGATGTCATTTTGTTGGTCCAGCTCCTGTTGGGCAGGTCTTGAGTCTTGTTTTCAATGCTTCAGCTGAGCAGAACTTTGTTTGGCAGTTCAGAAGCGCTATCCCACATCTTCACTCTGATTGGTTATTTATGTGGCTGTGGTTTATCTGCTTCTTTACCGGTGGGGAGCAAAAATAACAATGTATGGTTCTGAGTCACAGCTGGAGGAAATGGTGAGAAAATACAAACATCTGTACGACATGACTATACGACATGACTCAGTGACTATAAAGACATGAAATGGCAAGAAATTCATGGAGGAACATTGCCAACATTTTCGTATTTTCATTTTCAATAATAAGAACAAATGTTCTTATGAAGTATGAATAAGCCTTTAGTCCTGGTATATAGGCCTGCTGTAGTCCTTGTTTATTCCAAGCATGTGCCTCATTTTCTACGTCCAATCTTGATTTACTTCAGGTTTTAAGTCTCGCCTTAGTCCTGTTTTAGTCCTGTTTGAGTCCAGGTTTAGTAGTGTTGCAATCTTTGTTTCATTTCCGGTGTGGTTCTGATTTCATCCTGGTTTCATGTTTGTTTGTTTTTTGTAGGCCAAGTCCAAAGCCTAGACCAGGTCTAAACCAGGTCTAAACACAAAGAGATTTAAAGAACCAAACCAAGACTGAAACAGTACCGAACTATCATTAATGAATGAATCTAAAACAGTAAATGTCACTTGTTTCTTTCTGCTCTTCTCCAGGTTCGTGACGCTAACGACAATGCTCCAGTTTTCCTGCCACAGTTTTATGAAGCTCCAGCGATGTCCGAGGATTCTGCTCTGGGATCCATCATCGCTCAGGTCACCGCCTCAGACCTTGATGCAGGACAAAATGGCCGCTTCTCCTTCAGCATCTCCGCAGAGTCTGATCCTCACGGGCAGTTTGCGGTGGACGGGTCTGGGAGGGTCATGTTAGCTGATTCTTTGGACCGAGAGAAGATCTGGCAGCATCGGATTGTTGTTTTAGCCACAGACATGGGTGAGCCTGCGCTGACCGGCACTGCTATCGTGATGCTAATGGTTTTGGACATTAACGATAACGCTCCAGAGTTTGACGCAGATTATGAGCCGATAGTTTGGGAAAACACGGGCTCTCCTCAGGTCGTGAAGATGAACAGTTCCTCAGTTTTGCTTCACGTCAAAGACCGAGATGCGAGTGGAAATGGAGCGCCGTTTAAGATTCAGATGCTGCAGCTAACGCCGGACGCGGCGAGCTTTAACCTGACGGACCTGGGTAACGGTAGCGCTACGCTAACGGCGCTGAGGACGTTCGACAGAGAGCAGCAGAGGGAGTATCAAGTACCCATAATGCTTCAGGACAGCGGAGCTCCACCTCTCAGCGCCACACACACTGTCACCGTGACGATTGGAGACAGAAACGACAACCCACATGAACCAGCGCACACCACCTTCATCCTCTACAGCTACGACGGTAAGTTTTAATGCTGCGTGTGTAGTAAAAGTGTCAAGTATTGAAAATCTGATACTATTCTACACTAAAACTACAATATCAAAACTACATACTCATTTGAGCAGGTATCGATTCTAAAGCAGTCCCATTGTCAGGACAAAAATTAACCTGTCCTGACCGGATCGCACCAGTCTTGGTCTTGAGACTGACCTCGACTGTGTTTGGACTTGGTCTTGTCTCGGTCTTGAAGGTGTTTGGACTTGGTCTTGTCTCGGTCTTGAAGGTGTTTGGACTTGGTCTTGTCTCGGTCTTGAAGGTGTTTGGACTTGATCTTGTCTCGGTCTTGAAGGTGTTTGGACTTGGTCTTGTCTCGGTCTTGAAGGTGTTTGGACTTGATCTTGTCTCGGTCTTGAAGGCACTTGGACGTGGTCTTGTCTCAGACTCGAGGTCTGACTCGTAGAGTGTGATCATATTTCATTACGGCCGCTGCTGTCGCCAATAAACTTGTACTGGTGTGCAGGAGCGTGAGGCGTCTCTGCAGCCTGTGTGCTTGTCTGGAGCCTGTGGACACTGCGCGACACATCACCACACACATGCGCTGCCTCTCTGCAACAGCATGTACCATCATGTACCAGCGTGTATCACAGGGCAGGTGAAACATCCTACCTGTCCATCTGTTCATGTCAGTGTGCCGCTCCATAGTCTTTTCACGCTCTCTCCTCCACTGATCAGAAGAGCAAGACAAAATGCAAAGCAAAAACTCATCTAAATTTATGTTATAGTGCACAAAGCAGATCTACAGCACAGAACAGGCCTACAGCAACAAGTGGTTGAAGTTTGCCTAATAACAGTGCACAAATGCATCTGTATTTGTCACCATGTGCGTATAATAATGATAATGTACACAGGTAAATACTGCAAAACCAGTAAGAGAATGTAACTCCAGTTAGAAACTTGAAAAAAACAGGTTTACTTTACTTGGGTTTAATCCTACCCACTTTCTCCACTTTCTTCACAGTTTTGTGTAAAGTGCCAGTGGAAGTTCTCTTAAAGAAGGGCTTCTCAAACTGTGGATGAGGGTCAGAAAAAGGGGCACAGAGTTTTGTAGAAGGTAGATCATTTTGACTTGGTCATTTTATAAGTAGTTCACACACTGAAAAAATGTGGGTGGCCCTGAGTTAGAAGAATGATGTTGATCTGTATCAGAACAAGTAGAAGAGCACATAGATTAGTACACACACATGGACCAACATGAACCTACTGCACCACTGACCATTACACACATATAAGACACATGGGAAAAGAAAAGAAACTACTGTATTTTTTGGATGATAAGTTGCACTTTTTTTCATGGTTTGGGTGTTTCCTGCAACTTATACTTCAGTGCAACTTATATATTAAAATGGTCTGACTGACAGCCTCGAGAGGCTCTAGACTTGTGTATCAGTTTTCTGCACGTCTCCTGTAGAAAAAGCCGCTGTCCTGCTGCAAGTAGTGAAATACACAGCAGAAAACAGTAATTGAGGAGTAGAAAGAAAGTTTGGAGTGAGCGAGAAACTTGTGAGGGACTGGTGGAAAGCGGGGATGGAGAACACAGCTTCACGCTGTTGTGCCGTGCAACTTTCCTGGAAGTCACTGGATGACAAAACATGGACTCCTGTGACAACCGAAGTTGCATGGAGTTGTTCAGAAGTGACACCGAGAATGAAGAATTCAATGGATTCAGTGGATTTAGTGATTTGGAGTGAGATGGAGAGTTTGGTAAACTTATGTTCTGTTGTTTATGCTATAATTATCTGAAGAACTGTTCATATGTGACGTTAACATATTAACGCCTGTTCAGCCTGTTGTTCTTTATTCTATTGTTATTACTGTAACTTGTCTTTCAAGATAAAATGTCAGTTCCTGCTCCCTGATTTTATAACATGAATTTCCCTCAAAAAGTGCGACTTATATATGTTTTTTTCTTCTTCACTGCACATTTTTTTCGCTGGTGCGACTTATACTCCGGAGTGATTTATAGTCCGAAAAATATGGTACTATCATTCAATGTGGAAAATCACATTCTGTTTTCTAAAGAAAGAGTGTGTTTTTTATTATAGTCATGGTATCAGTATCAATATTAGTACTGAGTATTGAGTCTATTTGTTATACCGAAACTGAGTGTGAAATGTTTGTATTTGTGTTGGAATGCAGACATCCACCTGCAGCTCTCTGTCCTCTGCCTCATCTGACAGGATTTAATGCATAAACCTCACAGAGATTCTATTAGAGCAGAAATAGTCATGGCCACTGTCAACATCAAGATTTTTGGCAATTAATAATGAAATTAAAATGGAAATCCTGCTCTTCGCTGATCAGAGCCCTTTGTAAACAAGGTGAAAATCTTTGAGTACAGATGAAACCTCCAATGTAGTATTTAGAATGAAGTGAATATTTTGTGTAAAGCTTATTTCAGTTCCTGATTACAGAGGTCTTTGCTTTGCTGAGGGCTCAGAACACATATTTCTTCTTTTGGCAGTTAGTTTTACAATAATCCACCGTTAAATTCTCATCACAAATCCATCCCTTGGGACGCGAAAAAAAGCACAGAACACGTTCAAAATCCCCAAACTTCATCGAACAAACGCTTCAAACCATTGTCTTCTGAGAGTTTTTTCTTGTTTAGATTCTTGTGTTTTTCATCCAATTCCCCAAAGTCAGACCTGTTTAAACCTGCCCCACTTTCTCGTCTCCTGTAGAAGCCCACATCCGCCTGTAATCCCGTTAGCTGTGAAATCAGACACTGGGAAATACACCAAACAGGACTGGGATCATGATTTTCCAAAGACACAGACTGAGTAAATAGAAATGCTTTTAATTAGAGTTTAGGCCCTGGAGATATTAGGCTAAAAATATGAGATGTTACAGCCGGATTTGGTGATGAAATAGAACAGTTTAACACAGAAGAGGAGGGACAGGCATGTGGGGCTGAAATGAGGATTTTAATCAGAAAAATTACTGATTTAAAGCACTAAAAATACAGTTAAGTTTAGGGCTGGGTGTCATGAAGAAGTTGCCGATACAATACATACCTCGATACATAGACCATGATACGATACACGCCTCGATACGTAGACCACGATATGATACACACCTCGATACATAGACTATGATACGATACACACCTCGATACACAGACCACGATACAATACATAGACCGCGATATGATACATAGAACGCGATGCGATACATACCTCGATACATAGACTGCGATGCGATACACAGCACGATACATAGACCACGATACGATACACACCTCGATACATAGACCACGATACGATACACACCTCGATACATAGACCACGATACGATACACACCTCGATACATAGACTGCGATGCGATACACACCTCGATACATAGACCACGATACGATACATACCTCGATACATAGACCACGATACGATACATACCTCGATACATAGACCGCGATATATTACATACCTCGATACATAGACCGCGATACGATACATAGACTGCGATATGATACATACCTCGATACATAGACCGCGATACGATACATACCTCGATACATAGACCGCGATACGATACATACCTCGAAACATAGACCACGATACGTCCTGCTTTAGTTGCCGATATGATAAATATCTCAATACAATGAGCTTTTGTTTCGATATGATAATATTTCAAATCAATTCAATACGCTTCAGTGAAAAATAAAGGCTTAATCATGGCTGTGATACTAAAAGTCTTTGTTAAACCACTTCTTGTGCAAAGTTCATATGAAACACAAACACACAAACAAGTTTCCTTCCTGTAAACAAGCAACAAAACTGTAGCTGTAATAAAATATTTATGTAAAGTATACCCAAAAAAACCCCTCTTGGTGATATATCGATACAGCAGTCCACAATATCGATACTGTATCATCACATTAGACGATACAATACTGAGCTGATTGTGATTGAAACCTCTTTACCTCTGTGTGTGTGTGTGTGTGTGTTAGGTCTCCTCCCTGAGACGCTCCTGGGGAAGGTCCAAGCTCCAGACCCGGACGACTGGGGACAGAAACACTACAGCTTCAAAGGGACTCCACCCAGGTACAGGTTTAGTCCTGGTTTAGTCTTAGTTTAGTTTTGCTTTAGTCTTATTTTAGTCTCAGCTTTAGTCCTGTTTTAGTCCTGGTTGAACGTCTTGTTCTTCTGTGCAGTGTTTTCAGTCTGAACCAGAGCTCGGGTCACCTGTCCATCTCTGAGGCCACGCCCCCTGGCTCGTACCTGCTGCAGGTGGGCGTGGCCGACCACACCTGGCCTGAGGTCACCTGCAGCGTGAGCGTGGAGGTGAGAGAGCTCCCCCCAGAGGCCCTGAGGAACGCTGCAGCCATCAGGATACACAGTGAGTACGACTACTACTACTACTACTACTGCTACTACTACTACTACTACTACTACTACTACTACTATCTATATTAAAACTGCTACTTTTACAACTGCTGCTGCTACTACTACTACTTCTACTGATATTATAACTGCAACTACCACTACTACCACTACCACTACCACTACTACTACTACTACTACTACTACTACTACTACTACTACTATTTGAAAGCAGCCTATTAAGCAGGTCATTTAAGTTTGTTTCTACATTTAAATCTACACTCCCAAATATGACATGTTGTTTTAAAAGCTCCTCTCTCCTCCATCTCTCCTCTCTTTTTTCCTCCTCTCCCTCCTTTCTTCTCCCCCCTCTCCCCTTCACCCTCTAACTTTTCCCCATTCACTTTCCCTCTCTCTCAATTCTCTCTCTCTTTTGCCCCTCTTCTCCGCTCTCCTCTCTCCCTTCTCTCCTCTTCTCTTTCTCTCTCTTCCTCTTCTCTTTTTCCCATTTTCCTTTCTTCTCTCCTTTACTACCCCACCTCTCTCTCCCTACCTTGTCTCCCCCCTGTCTTTCTCTACCCCCTTTCTCTCTGTCCTCCCTGTCTTCTCTCTCTCTCTCCATCTCTCAGATTGGACTCAGGATCAGTTCTTCGGCCCTGGCCTTGAGCAGAGTGTGTTTTCTCGTCTCTCTGGAGCCGTGTCAGACCTTCTCCACCTCCCCCCTGACTACGTGGATGTCTTCTCCCTGAGAGAGGTCTCCCTCCCTGGGTACACGGCTCTGGACCTCTGGCTCTCTGCTCACGGAGCCTCCTACCTCCCACCAGAGAAAGTACTCGCATACATGAGCGCATACAAGGACAAGGTGAGGACAGAAGTGTGACTGTTGTGACCATAGTAACATTTCAAACTCGATTTCAATAATATCCTGATGATAATCTGATGATAATAAAAACACTCATATGCTAGTTTTGATACTTTTGAAAACCCTACAGTCTGATCATCTCTCTGTATGTGCCATCTTCTTGTCTCCATGGAGATACAAGTTTAATGTGGGAAAAAATGTAAAGCAACAACATCCTCATGCATGGAGACAGATTCTCCACCAGAAAAGTGACATAGTGCAGCTTTAAAGCAAGGTTTTTGATAAAAAAAATAAAAAATAAAAATAAAAATATATAATATATATATATATATATATATATATATATATATATATATATATATATATATATATATATATATATATATATATATATATATATATATATATATATAGATAGATAGATAGATAGATAGATAGATATAGTGCGCGCGCGCGCGTGTGTGTGTGTGTGTTGCTCTCATACAGCAGGAGGCTGTGGGGTTAAGTGCTGCACATCTGCCCTGTGTACCGCTCATGTTTAATGCAGAACGTTTAATGTAGACACTTCACACATGCACACACGTACACACATACATACACATACACACACGTACACACACATACATACACATACACATACATACACACACATACACACGTACACACATACATACACATACACATACATACATACACATACACATACATACACACACATACATACACACACATACATACACACACACACATACATACACATACACATACATACACACACATACATACACATACATACACATACACATACATACACATACAGACATACACACATACACACACACAAATACACATACATACATACATACATGCATACACACACATACATACACATACATACACACACACATACAACATACACACATACACATACACACACATACATACACACACATACACACACATACATACACACACATACATACACACATACATACACACACATACATACACATACATACATACACATACACACATACATACATACACACACACATACATACATACATACACATACATACATACATACACATACATACATACACGCATACACACATACATACATACGTACACACATACGTGTATACATACATACATACACACACATACATACACATACATACATACACACATACACGCATACACACATACATACATACGTACACACATACATATATACATACATACATACACACACATACACAGATACACAGTGTTCAGAGCATGGGTCAGGGCGTTCGCATGTAAACAGTGTGTGGATGTGTCTGGGCCTCCTGTGTGTCTGTGGTCTGATCTCAGGTGTCAGTGTGGTGTCAGTCTGGTGCTGCGTCTTTGAGAGTTCATGTGTTGGACACACAAACAGAGGTGAACTTTTGGTGTTTGGCGTGCCATGTCAGCCAATCCCAGACTACTTTCCTGTGACACAGTGACATCATTATCCAGAAGAAGAAGAAAGAGACAGATGCTGATGCTTTAATGTCACTCTCCTGCTCTGCCACAAAAAACCACAAACACTAGGCACTCACAGACCAGAACCGACGCCCTGGACCAGCAGCAGAAGCATCTGTCCTCAAGTACAAAGGCGTCCAACTAGTTAACTTCTCATGATGCTGGTTCAGATGTGGGGGATGGGACAGAAGCAGCAGACACTTTTCAATATGAGGACACTAAAGTTCACTCATTAAAGGTTAGAAGTGTGACATGATGGTGTACTGTGAAAACAGAGGTGTTCGTGCATTCGTGTGGTAGAACATGTGCTCCATATCAGCTCTGGCTCTGGCACCTGTCTCCTTTTCTTTCACAGTTAATACAAAAATAATATAACTGACTTGTAGCTTTTGTTTTGTTGAACCTTAAAATTGTTTTTACAATGTCAAAGTGTCAAAGTGTCACAGACTTCTAAACCTACCGACAAGGAAACAAAGATTCAAACACAAAACATGTCAAAAGCAACGAGAAGCAGAGAGAAAGGTGAGAACCAAACTAAGACGAAGAAGATGAGAGGCAGAGACAGCGAAACAGAAACCAAGACTAAATCGGAGCTAAACCAGGACTGAACAAAGAATAAACCAGCACTGAACCAAGACTAATCAAATAATGGATTATGGGTTATACCTTGAACTAAACTAAGAAATAATCACGGACTACACCAGAACTCCGCTGTATTTGCTCACCGGATAAAACAAATATAATAGTGAGGACTTGTGGTAGAAAAATGAAACATTCACAGATAAAATGAATCGTTTGAAGTTTCTCATTTTTATTTTGGTGTTTTTTCTCCAAACGCAGGATTCCCGCAGGTTTGTGCTCCTGCTACAGATGCTCTGACAGACTGTGACAAAACATGAGACACAAATATAAAAGAACAGAGGAGAGAGGAACTGACAACACGCTGTCAGGAGAGAGGGAGAGAGAGGGAGCGAGGGGAGAGAGAGTGAAGAGGGAGAAAGAGGAGATAGAGAGGAGAGGGAGGAGAAAGTGGGACAAGAGAAGTGGAAACAGGGAGAAGGGGAGAGAGGGAGAATGAGAAGGAAAGAGAGGAGAATGGTGCAAGAGGGGGAGAAGGAGAAGGAAATATAGGAAGAAAGCAAAGGGGGATGGGGGGGCAGAAAGGAACGAGCGAGAGAGTCACAACAAACTGACAAGTGTGTTTCTGAATGAGGCTTCTAGAGGAGCAGGAACACACTTTACTGGATTTCTTGAATTTGCCAAAATGTAAATGAGGAGGGTCCTGTGGTGGTTCTTGAGGCAGGCGAGGTGGGCATTACCCGAGGGGCGGCGAGAGGAGAGGGTCAGCTGCTCCAAACATACAGCACAATGCTTCAACTGCCCCTTCATGCCCCTTTACTGCAGTCTAGACTAGGGTGACCAGAATTTCAAACTCAAAAATTGGGACACTCTCGAGTTTGGGCGGTTGGTAATAATAAAATAGTGAAACGAGTGCGTAATTAAGGAGAATTGTTCTGCACTTGGCCCATTCATGACGAACATGAGTCAGTATAGTCACATTTTTAAGCAGTTTTTCTATATTTTACCTTAACAAATGTCAATGTACGCCTCTCTTTACTGTCAGCAAGTATTAAATTGGTCCAAAATAGAGACACTTGACTAATTTCATATATAAAACTGGGACAAATCAATGGTTTTGGATAAATCTGGACTTTAGGAAAATCTAAAAAATCTCTGCATGAATGGAGGAGGAGGTAGAGAGGATCTCAAATTTGAAGTTCCTGGGTGTGTAAATCAGTGAGGACCTGACCTGGAGCCTGAACACCTCCAGCATCATAAAGCGTGCACAGCAGAGACTGTTTTTTTTTTGCGAACACTCTGCCACAATGGGCTCTCCCAGAAGCTGCTCATCAACTTCTCTCAGTGCACCATGGAAAGTGTTCTGACGTACTGCTGCACATCACAGTACGGAGCACACACAGCTGCTGAAGAGGAGGACCTGCAGCGAGGGGTGAGAACAGCTCAGAGGGCGGTGGGCTCCTTGCTCCCGAACCTGGCCATCAACTACTCTTCACGTCTCTGCACACCGGTCTCCAACATCCTGAAGGACTCACACACCCTGGGACCTGCCTCTTCTGTGGTCTCCTCTCGAGAAGGCTTCAAACCCCCCCTCACACGCACAAACAGTCTGTAACAGCTTCTACCCACGAGCCCCAGGAGCACAGGCTCAGATAAAAGGCCTGAAGGGACTCCGTGCAATAACCTATTTATTTATTTATATTTATTCATTGTTACTGTTACAGATTTGCTCTGTTGAAGTTTTGTTGTATTTTGTACAATGACAATAAATCAAATCTGAATCTATAAATCTGCTGGGACAGGGCACAGGCTCTAAACTGGGACAGTCCTGGGTAAACAGGGATGTCTGGTCACCTTAGTCTAGACCAGACATGTCAAACTCAGGCCCGGGGGCCAAATTTGGTCTGCAATATAATTATATTTGACCCACGAGATAATTTTAAATATGTATTAGAGCTGCCCACCGGCTACAGATAAACTATAGAGACATAATTTATTTAAAATTGTTGTTATTATTTTATATTATGCTTGTTCTGAAAAGGTTTAACATTACACATCTCAAAAGAAGAGAAAACATGCAAATTTTCTTGACATTTTTCAATAAATATTTAGTCTGACCCACGCATTAGTCACAGTTTTTAATTTTGGCCTCTGTGAATTTGAGTTTGACACTCCTGGTATAGACTCTGTTGTCTATAGTCTGTAAATGTCATGATGATCATTTTGAAAAGGAATCTCATGCAAAAAGCTACTAATGTGGCCAAGACAAAAATGAAAGAGAAATGTTAAAGCCTCAAAGAATTCTCTTAAAATTCACAGTACTTTGTCTTCCAAATACAACAGATAAATGAATTAGAATGAATGTTTTGTTGTATATAATTACAACAGTAAAAATCACTGATCACATTGTGTAAACACACACCAAACATCAAACATCAGTGGGTTTTCTGATTATTGTTATCTGCTTTTTCCTGTCCTGTACCCAGTGATGAATCATCATCATTATTAAACCCTTGTCTTCTCTCTTCTCTCTCAGCTGGAGTCCTCTCTGGGTGTCTCTCTGTCTCCGATGGATGACTGTCCCCTGGTGGACTGCTCTGGCGGCTGCAGCACAGAGGTGGACTTCAGTCTAGACCCCATCCCACTGGGGTCTGGTCCCGTGGTCCTGGTCTCAGTTAAACCCTCAGTGAAGACTGAGTGTGGCTGTAGATCCAGAGAGCACACCCATGGCTCCTGCTCCTCCTACCCCACAAACCCCTGCCTGAACGGGGGCAGCTGCTCCGACGGGCCCCTGGGCTTCAGGTGAGGACCGGAGGACAAGGACTTATGCCTCTGGAGTGTGGGGCAGCAGAGAAGTCCTGTAGGTGTAATGCCCGTGTCACCCTGTAGGTGCCGCTGTCCCCCTCTGCTGGACGGCCCTCGCTGTGAGCTGACTCGTATCTCATTCGGAGGTTCTGGCTTCTCCTGGTTTCCTCCTCTTCGGCTCTGCTCCTTCAGTCGTCTGTCTCTGGAGTTCCTCTCTGAGTCGTCCTCTGGGCTCCTGCTGTACCAGGGGCCCCTGACTCCAGCACAGGGAGAGGGCCAGAGTCCCCTCACTCCAGCACAGGGAGAGAGTCAGGAGTTCATCGCTCTGGGTCAGTGCTGCTGTTACTTGACTTTATTTTCTTTTTTTTTTAAGCTGAAAAAATGCACACAGAAATATAAAGCCATTATTCTTATCATTTGAATCACTGAGTATGATAAACATATATAAAGTTATGAATAAGCTTTTCTTTTCAACAAGTGTGATGTTTTCTCATACTTGAGACAAACATCTGATTGTTCTAGTTTGTATCTGGTGAAAAGAAGTGGTCCATGTACAGATCCTTGTGGTACTCTGTAAAGAACAGGGGATGGGTAAAGCACTGAAAAAACCTGAAAAACAGAACTAATTCATTTTAAACGGTTAGTCCTCACTTACCTCCTGCATTCTGAGTTGCCTGGAATCAAGAATATACCTGCTTCAATATTTTATACAGATGTGAGTGCGGTCACCTCTGAGGATGACATGAGTGTTATTTCATGCGCCTGTTTTGTCTCCTCAGAGCTGATCGAAGGCGTCGCCGTCCTCAGTCTAAACCTGGGATCAGAGACAGTGACTCTGGCTCTGTCCTCTGAGTCTGCAGTGAGAGACCGAGCCTGGCACCGGCTGGACGTCCTCATTCAGGGGGAGGTGAGAGAGTTAAAGGTCATTCAAACTCCACAGGTCAGAGGTCAAATCCAGAGGAGTGAAATTACCTCTGTTGTGTTTCAGTTTGTGGAGCTGAGTCTGGATCAGTGCAGTGAGTCGGGCTGCAGAGCGAGCGGACATGTTACTGGAGAACACAGGTAAAAATAGATTCAAAACACACCTTCTGTATATTTACACATTTTTATGGGAGTAAAGGGATTAAACTAAATCCATGGATGTGCAGTGGGTTTCTCAAAAAGGTTTATATAATGTAATTTTTCAAGTGGGAGCATGTATCTGATTTAAAGAAGTGGTCCAAGTACAGATCCTTGGGGTGCAAGGTTTACTGTTTAAAAATAAATAAATAAAAACAAAACTAGTTAATCCTAATTATTTACTGCAGTGAGTTAATAACAGTACAGTACAGTACAGTGTAACTTAGTAAACTTAATGAACTGGACAAAACAGGAACCAGAGCAGAATCAGATCAGACCTGAGACTCGACTCTGCACAATCTACAGTTTGTATATTTGATATTATATGGAAGCCTGTGCATTACATTTGAAACATTTAGGCTTGTCTATGATCCAAATAATACAAAATCTTACCAAATAAAAACGAGATGACAGAAGCCCCACAGCCTCTGTACCCCGGCCGCCACCACCTCCACAAACCCAGAGCGGAGCGCACCGCAACCATCGGTCCCACTGCTCAATAGATACTTCATGCCACTGGACGGACCCTCACCGCCAAAAGCTCCAGCTCCGCTGCACAACATGTATACGTGCGACAACACCATCGGCCGCTCAGGTTTGAACACAGGCCACAGAACCCCAGGTAACAGCGGCCGAGCACGACACGGCCCAGAGGTCCCAGCGTAAGTGCACCTCTAAGTACAGCAGGCGCTGGGACAGACAGTCGCTCTAACTGGACGTTCGTGAGCAAATCCCACGCCTCAGAAAAACTGTTGTGCCCTGAGTGCCCTGTGTGTTATATACGTGTATTATTTATCTGATGCCTGATCGGACCATAACGTCCGAATCCGGATCGAGTCCACAGTCACGTGATCTGCGCCAATTTCCAATCACGGATCAGGACAACCCTAGTTAATAACAACAACTAGCATGTTAACAATGCTCCAGGCTTCCTGGTAATAAAGACCACCTCACAAATGAGATGTTACATTTAAAGGGGCTTTTTAAATTAAAATAATAATAATAATAATAACTAAAACTGATTAATTAAATGGACACAGCCAGTGCAGATTTTAGGGACTGATTCCACATCACGCTGCTACGCCCTGTGCACCACTAGGGCTGGTATCATTAAGAAGTTGGTGATACAATACATACCTCAATACATAAGACCATATACAATACATATCTCGATACAGTGCACTTTTGATTCAATATATTTCAAATCAATTCAATGTGGTTCAATAAAAAAATAAAGTCTAAATCATGTCTGTGATACTAAAAGTCTTTGTAAAACCACATCTTGTGCAAAGTTCATATGAAACACAAAAATTTTAATCAACAAAACAGTGAAAATGTCAAATGTGTCGTGATAAATGATTTTCCTTCCTCTAAACAACCAACAAAACTGTAGCTGTAACAGAATAATTTAGTAAAATATATGAAAAATACTCAGTACAGCAGCCCATGATATTGATACTGTATCATCAAATTAAGCTATAGGATATTTTGATATTTTTGTACACCCTTACGTCACACCCCACTCCACAATATCGTCTCTGTCTCTCGCTCACTGATCTATTTCATCTCCTCAAGGACACTGAGAAGACAATTTTAAAAACCTCCTTCCTTCTTCCATGTTTTGACTTTTGAGAGCTACATCATGAGGTCAGCAATAACGACCAGGGAGAACAGACCAATGAGGAGAAACTTTTAGTGCTTGGTGAATCTGAACCTTTATTTGACTTCAAGAGTTGCTTATACAATATACAATTTATCTGTACTTGGGCAAGACACATTTTGCTCAAATACATGTGAAAAATCAGGTCCATGGACTCATGATACTTTAAGATGTAATATCATAATAATAGTATTGTTCACCATTCATCAGCTTCAGTACTTACATTTTATCTAAACATCTCTGACCGCGGAGCTGTTCTGTGTGTGCAGGCTGCTGGACGTGTGGCTCCCCCTGCAGGTGGGTGGGGTGAAGCACTTCTCTCCTCTGCACAGATTCACCAGCTTCAGCGGCTGCATCAGGAACCTCGTGGTGAACTCAGAGGTGACGGAACCAGATCAGAAATTAGAATAAAAGACCATAACTATGAAAGATTTACTGTTTTTGAAAATAATCACCAAACTTCTGATCCACAAAAATTGAAGCTTCTCATTCATTGTTTTTGAAATCTGCAATCTGACAGTTAAACAGCAAATTCCACCATAGGATTCTGACCTGTCCTCCTGCTCACTTTAAACTACAGAGATTCTACAATGTGACTACAATGTCGTGCAAACACAGCCTAATCCCGAGTGGGACTTTTCTGTGTGTAGTTTGCATGTTCTCCCTGTGCATTGACTCTGTTCCTTCTCCTTGTGTTGTAGGTGTATGATCTGGCTTCTCCAGCAGAAAGTCTGGACTCGTACCCGGGCTGCAGGCTCACAGACGGACTGTGTCTGACCACCACAGGCCCCTCTTGTGGAGAACATGCCTCCTGTACATCCCAGTGGGGCTCCTTCAGCTGTGACTGCCACCCAGGGTTCACCGGACACAAGTGTGAGACAGGTGAGAAAGACAGGAGCAGACAGGAGAAGAGCCACAGGAGCAGACAGGAAAGATAACTAAGGCAAGGAAAGTTTGAGGAGATTGTAAAATGTTAAACCATCCTGAACGTTGTGTGCAGTGGTCCCAGAGTTTTCTTTAGCCGGGGATAGTGTGGTGCGACTCCAGCCCAGAGGAGGTGCTAATCCTCGGAGAACATCAGTTCAACTGCTGCTAAGGACCAGAGATGAACAGGGGACCATTCTGACAGTGGAGACGAGAGATGGACACTATCTGTGTTTGGAGGTGAGGACTGAACCAGAACTAAACCAGGACTATAGCAGGACTACAGCAGGAACATACATGAGAGTAGGAACTTACACTGATCAGTAAACTGAGAGCTTTGCCTTTGGACTCAGGTTCATCTTAACGGTCTGATATAAAATCCTCTGTAGGGAGAAGACCCTAGACACCAAATGCTTGTCTATGAGCACCTGCCCAAGGCCTGGTTAAAGAGGGGAGGCAATGTAGGCCATGTAATGGACTTAGATTTTGTCTCTTCATTAGGGGACACATAATGGGGCAAATTGGCTGCTTGGATGATCTGAACACTCCAACCCCTCCAGAACATTAAAGGGATAGTTTGGGATTTTTGACATAAATCTGTATGTCACCCCCGTGAGCAGTGTCGTGCATCCACACTGACTTACCCCCGACAGTGTCTGGTGAGCCAAGATACTGGCTGTTTTCGGTGCTGACGAAAGTAGTTCGGCAAGTTGTGTGGGGACTGTATAATAAAGCGTTTTTCTTCTCAAAACAATCTGTGTTCAAAAGAGTGATACATTTGCATCACAAAACCATCATCGTCTAAAAAGTCAGACCTCATAATTGCTTGGCACTATTTTCTTTCCATTCGTATCACTGCGCGCTGCCGTCAGGTGGCAGCCGCGCACGGATCCATCACTTTTTGCAGTTGTTCAGCAGTGTTTACATGCGCAGACCGCCGCCACGCGAGAGAGCTAACGAGAGAGCTAGAGCCATAAGTATATAAGCTTGTATAAGATACATATGAATATATCTAAAAAAATGGTGCGGACGCTTGATTCTCCAAGGTGTAACAACAAAAATCAGTCTGAATCTCCACACACATTTCACCGTTTTCCTGTCACGGACTTTGCGCTGAGGAAACTTTGGGTTCACAAAGATCTCCCCTTGGCTTTGTGGTAAAGGCAAAGTCTTTATTGTCGGTGTCATAATCAGACATGTTGTTGCTAACATTCCGAGCAGTAAACAAAGTGAACCAGGCTTATATACTTATGGCTCTAGCTCTCTCGTTAGCTCTCTCACGTCGCGGCGGTCTGCGCATGTAAACACTGCCAAACAACTGCAGAAAGTGATGTATTCATGCGCGGCTGTCACCTGGAGGCAGCGCGCAGTGATACGAACGGAAAGAAAATAGTGCCAAGCAATAATGAGGTCTGACTTTTTTGGCGACGATGGTTTTGTGATGCAAATGTATCACTCTTTTGAACACATATTGTTTTGAGAAGAAAAACTCTTTATTATACAGTCCCCAGCCAACTTGCCAGACTACTTTCGTCAGCACCAAAAACGGACAGTATCTCGGCTCACCGGACACTGTCAGGGGTAAGTCAGTGTTGATGCACGACTCTGCTCATGGGGATCACATACAGATTTATGTCAAAAATCCCGAACTATCCCTTTAAGGCGGCTGTTCATGGACAGGGCAGTTTTATGGAATTAGTTTGGACTGTTTAAACTGACTTTATTTGGCCTTTTCTGATCTGTTCAGACTGACTTTTTCCTCTGTTCTGTCCTTTACTGCAGGTCAGAGCTGGTCTCCTCTTGGTCCACTCAGACCTGGGATCTGGACCTCAGACTCTGGTTCTTTCTGGGCTCAGAGTGAATGTGGGGGAGTGGATCTATGCCGAGCTCTACCGCTACGATACCCACCTCTCCCTGAGCCTGGAGGGGGGAGGGGGGAGGAGGGAGGTGGAGGGGAAGGTGGACAGGGGAAGAGGGGGAGGAGGAGGAGGGGTGGAGATGAACCAGGTCACTGTGACTGTGGGGAGAGGAGACAGAGGAGACAACGGGACCACAGGGTTTCAAGGTAAGAACTAGAACTGAGCAACCCCAAATCTCCACGATCCTGTCACTCCTCATTATATAGTTTAGTTTTTTCTCTAATTACATAACAGCCACTCTAATTCAGGTTTACAGTCGACTGTCCACCTTCATTTTAAAGCCACAAACCAGTCATCTGAAGACAGTGAGGCGCAGAATTTAAGCAAGGACAAGGCTATAACGCTTCTCTCAGGGCAGAGCTAATCTACCCCCCTCCTCTATGAGCTGTGTAGACCATTTGTCAAGAGTTCAAATAGTATACAGTACAGTACAGTACAGTACAGTACAATACAGTACAGCACAGCATAGTACAAATAGTACTCAGTATTTTGTCCTTTGACAAATAACTGACATTTGTAAATTGAACCTGGCGGCTGATGGATGCTCTTGTCATAGGCTGCCTGAGGGATGTTCGATTCAACGGCCTGCTGCTCCCTCTGGACGGGCGGGGCTCTGAGGGTGTGTCCGTGCTGGAGAACAGGGGCGTGTCCACAGGCTGTTACAGCGAATCGTGTCACTCCGTTCCGTGCTCCGCCCCTTTGCGCTGTGTGGATCTGTGGAGGAAACATGAGTGCAGGTGAGGCTGTATGCTCAGACTGTATAAAGGGAAGGACATCACCCAGAGCATTCAGCTCCAGCCAAATGAAGCTCAGCGAGGTTTGCAGTTATTTGGAGTCAAGTTCCATATTTGGAATTCGGATGTTAGCAACCAAAGAGCCAATCCCCTCCCGCCTGCAATGCTAGTTTGGCAAGAAGCAGACATTTAGTAACACTGTCAGTCAAACCTGTTACTAAAGCACGGACGGACCTCTGGGACACAAGGCGTCTGTTTGGTCTGTTATTAATGTTCTTATCTTGATTTAAGAACCAAGTAGTGAAATAAAAAACCCAGTATCACTCAGAATGTCTCAATATGAACATTGTGAAGTCAGAATCACAGGGCCACAGTCGATGGAGATGGAGGTGCACTGATGCTCACTTCTAACTAGGTTAGCTATGTCTATGTATGTCTATATATATTATATCTGTATATATTTATACATACAGTCTATGGTATAAACTCAGTGTAGGAAAGTTCACCTCAAGCCAAGATCTCTTAAGGATCTGATAAGATTCCAGACAGCAAAAATAGTGTACAATGCAAAAGGAAAGAACTACCAAAAAATATTCAGAAACATTTTATTGTAAGAGAAAATATTTATAATTTAAGGAGAATGTGTCTCTTTAAAATGGCCAGAGTCCGAACAACAAGGAAAAGTTTCTCTATTTTAATTTGTGGAAAAATTAAAATATTAATTAATAAATGACATGATCCTTACCTGTTACAAAGTGGTCACTGCAAACTTGAGCATTGTCTGTTTCTGCACCTCCAGTTTTTGCCAGAGATGATCAATCTACTTTTGTCATCTTTTTTCTGTCAGTTTTTGAAACTAACTCCCTTGTGACTCCTAACTCCTCCCTTGCAACACTTATTTGTCTTTTTCCTGATTAGAGCGTTTGTAGCAACCACAGACTTCACAGAAATTTGGCATTTTGACACTGAGTTATCAGAGGTAAACACAGTTTTGTGCGTCTGTCTTTACTTCCTAACCCCATCTGCTTTTGGTGATGTCTGAAACCAGCAGTAGACTTCTACAGGCCCCGCCCTCCATCTGAAATTGAGACATTGACTTGTACATCTGTGTGTTTTCACGTCTTGTGTTTGTGCTGTCTGATGCATCGCTCCCTCATTTCATTCTGCCTTCATTTCCCAGGTGCCCCGGCTCTCAGATGCTGCTCTCTGATTCGTCGGGTCGCCAACGATGTGTCCCATCGCCGTGCCGACCGACTTCGTGCCGCCACGGCTCGGTGTGTCAGCCGCTGTCTGCTGACCACTTCCTGTGTCGTTGTCCAGATGGGGTCAAAGGTCACCGGTGCGAGCTGGGGTCACTGAGGGGTCACCGCACGGCAGCGCTCAGCCCCAGCTCCATCCTCGCCATCAGCATGTGCCTGCTCGTCTTTCTCGGTAAGAAAAAATAAAACAGAAGTGTCAATAAAATAGAACCAAAAATAAAAGGAATTGATTGTGTGTGTCTGGAGGGTTTCCTCTGGTTTCCCCCATCAACCCAAAACATGCACTATAGGACACATCCTCCATTTATTGTCACCACATTCCAAACAGGAAGTGAGCACAGGCACGCTTCCAGCTCCATAGACTCTGCTCCAGTTCACTTTCTGTTGAAAAACTGTCATCCCTCTCTGTAACTTCTGATGTCAGGATGTTTGTCATCCAGGTTGGGTCCTTCACTAAGAGAAATTCAATTCTCTCAGCTGGAATGGTCCTCAAAATCTTTTGTCCAGTTGACAGAATTGAATTTCTCTTGTGCAATGCTGATGTCTGGCTTGTCATTTTGGCCTTAAAATGTTCGTAATCACCTGCTCCACATGATACTGAGGTTTTTATTTTACTATTTTGCCCCTAAATTAAGATATGAACATTAATAATAGACCAATCGAGCGCCTTCTTTCCCCAAGGTCACTCTAAATGCCCGCCCCCTGCTAAACCAGGGGTGTGGATGGTAAGGGGCGTTACCTTCTACAAGCCTCACTCCTGATTGGCTGTTTGGTTGCTGTGATACTCATAGTCGAAATTCCAAAAATGTAACTTGGTTCCAAATTTGTCTCTGCCAGCCTCAGTGAGCTTCATTTGACTGGAGCTGAACACTGTGGGTGATGGCACACTCACTTTGGCCACTTGTTTATACAGTCTGTGGTCTAAGCCTGACTCTGAGTTTAAACCTGGTCTGGTCACGTTTCCCAGATAAAGTGTGTCCTGTTCAGTTGTTGTGTAACTGTCCCATCGACCAAAGCTGACGCACAACATTATGTAAACAACAACAGGGATACAAATGAGTCAATATGGTCTCTAATGTCCTCTTTGTTTGCAACTTCAATGTTTCAACACTTAACTTTTAAATCATTTGAACAATGTGTGCTTCTGAAAAATGTGGATAAAAACAACACACCTGTTTTGTTAGAGCTCCCCCTGCTGGTGCACTGCAGAGTGACACAGTGTAAACACAGCTACATAAACAGTATGTTCTAAACTCTTCAGACCTGGACCCTGAAAACAACCCCCTGCAAAATGAAACAGACATAATCTTGAGTTGTCAACTATTTAAAATTGTAATTGTGCTCATTTGAGTATTGTGTTATCTGTGGGGGTGTAACGATATCTAAGTCTCACAATACAATATCACTGTATGAACCTCACAGTATGATGGGGAGGCTCACGATGTAACAATATCCAAATCTCTCGGTACAATATTTTCAAGATATACATCTCACAGTACGATATGTATTACAATATTTTGTGGAGGCTAAAACTGTTAATATGTGACTTTTTCTCTTAAAATGCCTTGACAAGATTTAATCCAAAGAACAAAAACTTAAAAGTGTTAGAACTGTTATTTCTTCTTTTCATCTGCACTGAAATGGAGCAAAGGATCATGGTCTGTGAAGTTCCCTCTGTCTTTTTTTTTTTTTTTTAGCTGTTGCTGCACCATAACTCTTCATTTAAGCATTGAAACTTGTAATTGGATATATTGTGATGGTCCACGATATTACTGAGAACTTTGACAATACAATATCACAATATTTCGGTTACTGTTACATGCCTAGGGGCTCGGTCAAGCAGAAGTAAACACAAGGCCAAAAATTCAAGTTAATGCATCTGATATAAAAATGTATTGAACAGATACATATGTACTCTAGTTTATGAAACTGTTGACCTTTTTTCTGTACCATTTTTGGTTCTAAAGTTCCATCCGTTTTAAACAGAGCATGTATGAAACATGGAACAAAAATTATTTCCCAAATTTCACAGACCTGCAAATCATGTAAATAAATGGATGTATTTCATCATATCTTGTGTTATTCCATCTTTAAACTGTTGATGAAGGTACATGATTAAAAAAAAAAGTATTTAAAATGATAAAAATTAGCTTGGAAGGACTGACATATTTTATAGAAATAGTTTCCTTTCATTTTGAAGTAATATTAAAGTTTTCAGAAGAAAAAAGTTGACAAATGATGTAAAATCCTGCACCTTCTACTTGTTTGAACAATTTTCCCTCTGTTACTTTTCCCTCCGTTACCATGACTTTTCTTAATAAAAAATCTCATTAGTCAAAAAGTAAGAGGTTTTTCAACCTAATCTTGTACCACATGGTAGAAAACTATATGAAGCAAATATTCAAACCAGTTTGTTAAGGATATGGAAGTGAGAACCAAGAGTTATCACTGTTTGGATTTATTGCCCAAAAAGTGCTGCATATTTCATTCCCTCCGTTACCGACATGAGTTTTAAAATTTTTTGTCAACAACTTGAAAGAATATCACAGGTTTAACTTGACCCTGTTGGAGTGTAACTCTTTCCTACATTCTGATACTTTACTTATTTCAATAGTCCCTCTAGTTTCTGAATAAGAGACATTTGAATGTCAAAAATCTGACCCTGTTTCCCTCCGTTACCACTTGACTGGACCCCTAGTTATCTGAGCTAATTTTTCTGTGCATTTATATTGCTGTCCTGTAGTTTTGGGTCACGGCTCTGCTCCTCCTGTCCTGTAGGGGTGCTGGTGGCGGTGACCGTGTGGAATCAGAAGGGAAGCAGAAGTAAGTTCAGGAAGCGCGGTGTTTACCACGTCCCCCCAGAGCACGAGAGCTGGGAGGGCATCCGGGAGAATATCCTCAACTACAACGAGGAGGGAGGAGGAGAGCAGGACCAGGTGAGCCTCTGACCCTCTCATCTGCTCCTCTTCTCCTCTTCTCCTCTTCTCCTCTTCTCCTCTGACCCTCTCCTCCGTTCCTTTCACCCTCTCCTCTGTTGCTCTGACCCTCTGTTCCTCTGACCCTCTCCTCTGTTCCTCTGACCCTGTCCTCTGTTCCTCTGACCTTCTCCTCCGTTCCTCTGACCCTCTCCTCTGTTCCTCTGACCCTGTCCTCTGTTCCTCTGACCCTCTTCTCTGTTCCTTTGACCCTATCCTGTCTTTCTTCAGAACGGTTATGACATCTCGGAGTTGAAGCGTCCTCTGTGCTCGAGTTTGTCTCAGTCTTCTTCTTGCACCACGGCTCCTCTGCTGCGCTCTTCCCCCGGCTCACAGGAGGAGGTCCACTTCAGCGCCCCCTACAGACCGCACCACCTGCAGCCTGTGTACGCCACCCTGAGGTCCGAGCCCGACACACAGAGCCAGGGCTGGACCAGGGCCCACAGGTGAGGACTGAACCAGGACTGAACCAGGTCTGAACCGGGACACAGGACTGAACCAGGTCTGAACAAGGACTGAACCAGGACTAGCCCAGGACTGAACCAGGACTGAAGTAGGACCATATAAGGGCCAAACCAGGACCAATCCAGGACTGAACTGGAACTGAACAAGGACTAAACCAGGACTAAACCAGGACTGGACCAGGACCGAACCGGAACTGACCCAGGACCGACCCAGGACTAAACAAGGATTGGACCAGGATTAAAACAGGACTTAACCAGGTCTGAGGCAGAACTGAACCAGGACTGAACCGGGACTAAACGAGGACTGGACCAGGACTAAACTGGGACTGAACAGGGACTAACCCAGGACCGACCCAAGACCAAACTGGAATTGAACCAGGATTGACCCAGAACTGACCCAGGACAGACCCAGGACTAAACAAGGACTGGACCAGGATTAAAACAGGACTAAAGCAGAGTTTAAGTCGGGAGTGGATGGAGATCTAAACCAGGTCAGAAACGCACACAGATGAGTTTTTTGTGATGAAAAGTCTGACTCAGTGCTGCCCTCTTGTGTCCAGGACGCACGTGGATTTCCAGAGCTACGTGTCGAGGATCGTTTGGGAGGCGGACCAGCACAGCGCCGCCTTCCCTCCGGACACGCTGCACGTCTGGAGAGAGGAGGGGGCGGGGTCCAGTGCCGGGAGTCTGAGCTCGCTGGAGTCAGACATCCACAGCACAGAGCCACACGGACTCTAGGTCCATTAAAGAGGGGGTATTATTCACAATTGACTATTTGGAACCTTCTAACATGTTAAAACCAATCAAAAACTGCCTGGAGAGGTTTTAAGTGTCATCCATGCTGCACTACAAAGACAAAAGACCTGAACTCTCCAGTGTGAAACTGAGAAAAATGACTTCAGTTTCTGTTTTGTCCAGACAAAAGTAGAATAGACAAGGCTCCCAAAATTTAACAACTAGTCGCTCTAATGAAGAAATATTTGTATGTGAAAAACATTGAGTTCAAAATTGACCTTTGACCCTTATTTGTCAGTTCCTGTTCTCTTTCTTTGTATCATGAGCCAAAAATAGGTTTTGGTGTAAAGGCCAAAGGCAGAAACTGACATGATCATTATTTGATTTCCAGATTTCCATCCATCCAAAAAAAAAAAAAACACCTCACCAAGCTCCAGTCATCATGTGTTTGTGTGAAATGATACAGAAGAGTTTTGATTTTCCTGTTTAATGCTGATCGGGATCATGCAGCGACACTTCCACAGTGAAACAGACACAAGTGATTTTGAAGTAAAGTGTGTACAGTATAAATAAATACACACAATACTTTCACTTTATGGTCATGAGCTCTGGGTAATGACCGGAAGAAGAAGATTGCAGATTCAAGTGGTCGATGGCTGGGCGCTCCCTTAGAGATAGGGTGAGGAGCTCAGTCACACGGGAGGAGCTCGGAGTAGAGTCGCTGCTCCTCCACGTCGAGAGGAGACAGTTGAGGTGGCTCGGGCATCTGTTCCGGATGCCTCCTGAATACCTTCCTGGAGAGGGCATGTCCCACCGGGAGGAGGCCCTGGGGAAGACCCAGGACACGCTGGAGGGACTATGTCTCTGGGCTGGCCTGGGAACACCTCGGGGTCCCCCCAGAGGAACTGGAGGAAGTGTGTGGACAGGGAAGTCTGGGAGTCTCTGCTCAGACTGCTGCCCCTGCGATCCAGCCCTGGATAAAGTGGAAGAAAATGGAATGGAACTTTCACATTAAAGATCATTGAAGTATAACTGAATACAAAGGTTTATTTATTGAATGTGTCCAGACCCTGAGCCAAGGCCACAACAAAATAAAAGGAGGCCAGAGGTTGGATATGAAAATAAAATATATTTATGAACTAAATCAGAAACAAAACACACACTGTTTCTGCCTTTTGCTTTTGCACAAAAACTTATTTTAGTCTCATGATACAAAGACAGAAAACAGAAACTGACAAATAAGGGTCAAAGGTCAATTTTGAGCTCAATATTTTTCAGGATATTTATTCCCATGATAAAGGAGTCTCACATACAAACAAAATGACATGAACTCATTTATGACCAAACATGTTACAGTGTTCTGCCTTTTGTATGGCAGCATGCGTGTCTGGGCCCTGTTCAAACTCTCTTTCTGGTCAGCTGTAGGTGTCTGTACAAGGCTCCGCCCACAGGCCTACATCACCCATGCTCCCACATGACAGTTTTCTATAAATTCACAAAAACATGATACAAACTTATTCATAGCAACTTGACAAACCTGATGTGATGTGCAGGAGTTTCATTAGTGGGACACACACTGTTTGTGTTGTTGTTGTGCTCTGAAGGGGGAGCACTTTGTCAAAAACTAAACTGAAACTTGAAACGTGTTCATACGTTGTTTTCAATGAACAGAGCATTTTCAAAACACTAGAAGAAACATGGTGATCTAAGTATGGTTAATACCCCATATAAGTGTAATACCCTTTCTTTAAATAAAATAAAAGATCTTTTTGAAGATATGCAAAATTGAAATATCAGGTATTTTGTCTACACTGAGGAAATGGTTCAAAAGTTGCTGAAATAATTGAAACAGCAGTAAAAATATGTAAACTACGGCGTTGTTAAAGTTTGGATAATGCATTTTTTATCCAAATATTGAGGTGTTCGTTTTGACTTCAGAGTCGTTTCTTAAAGCAGGACTAGAATCAGAAGAACTAAAAGCACTTAAGCTGGTGTGGACCAATGACCTTCACACTCATGGATCTTTGTGTACTCTTTAAATAACAATGACATTTTTGCTGCCATTTTACATTTTACAAGTACAAAACTTTCCTTCACACGTAATGTTTATAATGATACCTTTGTTAGTCTTTAAGATGCAATAGAATTGTTTATTTCAAGACAAAAAAAAAGCCAGAATGTCTGTGTTAAAGACGCTGTACCTGAGTTTGACTGTGTTAAAATGTGAAAAACTGAACTAGTTCACTGTGAAGAGTTTGCACTGGTCCAAAGTCATTCCTCACTCACCTTCTGCATTCAGAGCTTCTGAATTATTCACTGACATGAGTTTATAAGCAGTTAGATGCAGACGTATGTATTTTGACCTCAAGAGCTGCTTGTATAATTGATACAAACTGGGGGTATGAAGCTAACTGCAGGCACTGTTCTGTCTGAAGCTCTGTTCAGACTCAAGTTACAGTTGGAACTACACCGTCTGATCTGACCTGCTGTTAAGTCTCCCTCTCACTTAACATCACAGTCACAAGTTGTTGAAAATCAAACCATGGACACTCTGAAAATGTGCTCTTTAAATCACTTTAGTATTTTGTGTCACCATGGTAACTGCTAAACGGCCATAGACATCCTGTATATGCAGAACCCCCCAGCATGATGTCTCTGTAAAGTATCAGTTTATCTGTAGTTTGCTCAAATACATGAGACAAAATCAGGTCCAGCGTCTTCGAGTGTGACTGGAGCATGTTTCAAAGACTGGAACAGTCGTGTTTGTCCTGAGTGAAGGAGCGGACGCTCCCTCACCCTCTCCTCACCCTCCTCCTCACTCCTCCTCCTCTCTCCTCCTCTCCTCCTCCTCCCTCCTCCTCTCTCTCCTCTCTCTCTCCCTCACCCTCCTCCTCTTCCTCCTCCTCTTCCTCACCCTCCTCCTCACCCTCCTCTCTCCTCTCTCCTCTCACCCTCCTCCTCTCTCTCTCCCTCACCCTCCTCCCTCTCTCTCTCCCTCACCCTCCTCCTCTCTCTCTCCCTCCTCCTCCTCTCTCTCCTCACCCTCCTCCTCTCTCTCTCCTCCTCCTCCTCTCCTCCTCCTCCTCCTCTCCTCTCCTCCTCCTCTCTCTCCCTCCTCCTCTCCCTCCTCCTCTCCTCTCCCTCCCTCTCTCCCTCACCTCTCCTCACCCTCCCTCCTCTCTCCTCTCCCCTCCCTCTCCCTCTCCTCTCCTCTCCCTCCTCCTCTTCCTCCTCCTCTCCCTCTCCCTCCTCCCTCCTCCCCTCCTCTCCCTCCTCCTCTCCTCTCCCCTCCTCTCCCTCACCCTCCTCTCTCCCTCACCCTCCTCACCCTCCTCTCTCCTCACCCTCTTCCTCACCCTCTCCTCTCCCTCTCCCTCCTCCTCTCCCTCTCCCTCCTCCTCTCCCTCCTCCTCTTCCTCCTCCTCTCCCTCTCCCTCCTCCTCTCCCTCCTCCTCTCCCTCCTCCTCTTCCTCTCCCTCCTCCTCTCCCTCACCCTCCTCTCTCCCTCACCCTTCTCTCCCTCACCCTCCTCCTCTCCCTCACCCTTCTCTCTCTCTCCCTCCTCCTTCTCTCTCTCTCTCCTCCTCCTCCTCTCCCTCTCCCTCCTTCTCTCCCTCCTCCTCTCCCTCACCCTTCTCTCTCTCTCTCCCTCCTCCTTCTCTCTCTCTCCCTCACCTTCCTTCTCTCTCTCTCCCTCCTCCTTCTCTCTCTCTCCCTCCTCCTTCTCTCTCTCTCCCTCCTCCTTCTCTCTCTCTCCCTCCTCCTGTTGCACTGAGTCGTCTTGAGCCAGAGGAGCAGAGGCCTGGACGTCTCACACTGTAAATATCTTTAAAGAGATTATTTTTATACTATTTTGTCCCTCTGCTCTCCCTGTGAAGTTCCTGTCAAATGTCTGTTCCATGTTTACAGGTGAAATCCAAAACCTCTGCAAAAGCAGCTGAAGTGGTTTCATTTCAAGAGCCCAGATTACACTTCCCACTGTGTGTTCTGTTTCCTCACCACACACACCTGCACTTGTGTTTTGATTCATTCACATGTTTAACACACAACCTGCATCTTTAGGCTCAGTTCTCAGAAAACACTGTTCCACCTTGTGATGTCATGTGGTAATACAGGAAGTGCTCCACTGTGTTTTTAAACTCTATACACCTTGTGTGTAAAATCCCTCAGTTGTTCTAGAATCCAAGACAAAGAGGAGTTTCAGAGGAGTTTCAGTGTAGTTAGCTCCTCTCTTCAGGCTGATATAAGGAAATGTCACCAGTGTCTGAACACAACTGAACAAACAGCTTGGATGAACTTCTCCTTTTGCACTCCTCACAAATTAGTGTGTCATGACATCACAAGGTGGAACAGAGCATTTTGAACTTTGGAGATGTAGACAGACTTGTAAGAAAGAGTTCCTCAAACGTGTGAATAAAATGAAACATAGCTCCAGGTCGGTTTTTGAGGAGGGAACGTTCTAAAATAGCAGAAAGCTCAGAAGAACCCATTTAAGTGTAATGTAGAACCTTTAATCCAGATCTTTTCTGTTTGATGTGGTCCTTGGAGTGAACATTTTGGTTTATTCCTCAAGTTAATTGTTCTGAAAATACAAAACAACAAAGAGGCAATCAACTTAAAGCTGCACTGCGTAACATTTCTGCATAGGGAGGTGATATTGATTGGTGTAAAATGTTCCATACTGTGGCATAATATTGTATTTATCAGTTTCCACGTTTACATAAGAGCTTTAATCCAAATCAGATCAGATCATGTAAATACTTAATTCCTAATGAAAATGATTATTCAGAATTAAACTTAATTCTGAAGTAAGTGGGTGGTTTATTCTGAATGAATTTATTCCTCGATCATGTTTCACGTTTATTGTCCTTAAAAAGAATTCTGATCGTTCACAGCACATGCTCGTTGGGTCGTCCTCACTCGATGACGCACTGTGAGATGACGGCCAAGAGCAAACGTTGGTCTCCCGTCAAAACTAATTTTTTAATAAGCACGCTGTAAGAACGACAA